GGGCCCAGATGGCATACCGATCGAGGCTTGGAGAAGTTTGGGAGAGAAAGGCATCGAGTGGCTAACACGTTTCTTCAACATGATTTGGAGAAACAACAAAATGTCAGTGAGTTGGCGGAAGAGTACTCTCATTCACTTATATAAAAATAAGGGTGATGTACAAGAATGTGCTAACTATCGAGAGGTTAAGCTTATGAGTCACACCATGAAACTTTGGGAGCGAGTGGTTGAGCAAAGACTAGGTAAAAGTGTGAAAATTTCGGAGACTCAATTGGGTTTTATGCCTGGACGCTCAACAACTGAGGCCATTCACCTTCTTAGACAAGTTGTGGAGAAGTATAGAGACACTAAAAAGGATCTGCATTTGGTGTCCATTGACTTAGAAAAGACATATGATAGGGTACCTCGAGAAGTTCTTTGGTGGGCCTTAACTAGAAAAGGCATATCACGTAAGTATATCAGCATCATCATGGATATGTATGATGCTTGTACTAAAAGTGTCCGCACTAGTGTAGGGAGGACCGCAGAGTTCCCTATTACTATTGGAGTGCACCAAGGATCTGCTCTGAGTCCTTTCTTATTTGCTTTAGTCATGGATGAACTTACGAAGTCAATTCAAGAAGATATACCGTGGTGCATGATGTTTGCCGACGATATTGTATTGATTGATGAGACACAATCCGGTGTTAAAGCAAAGTTGGAAGTATGACGACAAACATTGGAGAGCAAGGGTTTCAAACTGAGCCGAAGCAAGACTGAGTATATGGAGTGCAAGTTCGGTGGAGGTAGAAGTAGTAGCAACAGTGGGATTACTGTTGATGGTAAGGAGATACCGGTGTGTGATATGTTCCGTTACTTGGGATCCATAATTCAGAAGGATGGTGAATTAGATGGAGATGTATGTCATAGAATCAGAGCTGGGTGGATGAAACGGAAAAGTGTTTCAGGATTTCTATGCGATCGAGGTATGCCGACTAAACTGAAAGGTAAATTTTATCGTACAGCAATTAGGCTGACATTAATGTATGGCGTAGAGTGTTGGGCGGTAAAGAAATGCCACATTCAAAATATGAGTGTGACAGAGATGCGTATGTTGCGTTGGATTGTGGACATACCAGAAAAGACCGCCCGAGGAATGAGGTAATCAGACAAAAGGTGGGAGTAACACCTATAGAAGATAAGATGTAGGAGTCTCGTTTGCGGTGGTTTGGGCATGTGCATAGAAGACCGGGTGATGCACCTGTTAGACGACTTGAGGGGTGGGGAAAAGAGTCAGAGAAGAGAGGGAGGGGAAGACCCAAAAAGACTTGGATTAGAGTAATCAGAACTGATATGCGTCTTCTTGGGTTGGATGAGAGTATGGCTTTGGAGAGAGCAAAGTGGAGGGCGCACATCCATGTGGACGATTGATGTCTTGTCTACCTTTCCTCTCTTGTTTCTTTTATCGTTTATCTTCCTTATCTTTTTATATTCTTATGTTATTTTTATCTTCTAGCTTTTTTATGCTATTTTATTTATTTTTCTTTTATCTTGGTTATATTCTTGTGTTATTGTTATCTTATATTTATGTATCTTTATTTTATTCATTTTATCTTACTTTTTTTCCTTTTCTTGTCCGCCTTCTCTTTTTGGCATCGATATCATAGATCGATTCATGTTAGCTAACCCCAAATTCTTTTGGGATTAAGGCTTGGATGTTGTTGTATTCACATATTCCGCATATATATGGTATTGCGTTTATTTTTGAACCTCGTCGTAGACTTGATACTTTAGGGCATTGTTTAGATTACTATTATGTTTCTTTTTTTAGTCCATTTCCTATGTACGAGGAAAAACTCATAGACCCTAAACAAGAATTGCAAGAGGTTAGTACTTTATTATATCAATTATTTAATGAGTTTCATGCACAATATGGTCACACACCCCCTCCCCCGACACAAACATCTTCTTCATCTAAAGGAAAATCACTTTTTAAATCTTCATTTGGCAATATTATGAATAGTGATGGACCCGGGCCGGTCCGGTTCCGGTTCCGGGCCTGGCCCAGGCGGGCTTTTTTGCAAATCCTTGGGCCCGGAACCGGCCCGGGTTGATACCGGGTCCGGGCCTAACCGGGTCGGGCCGGGCTGGGCCCGGTTCAATGTCTGTTTATTTTTGCTTTCTTGTTATCCCCCGACCCCCCCCCCCTCACCCCACCCCCAAACCTCCCCAAAACACCCAGCCCTACCCTAGGAAAAGAAAAAAAATTGAAAAAAAAATTGACCCGGGCCCGGCCCGAACCGCCCGGGCCGGTTCGCCCAAAACTGGGCTCGAGCGCGGCCCGCCTGACCCGCCCAAACGGGTTAAAAGCCCGGAACCGGCCAACCGGTCCCGGTCCGGTCCGAGCCCGCACAGTCCGAGCCCGGTTTAGTCCATCCCTACATATGAAAAAAAGTAAATCAACTCCCGTTAATGAACAAAGCTCGATTAACGAGCTTTCTTTGTATCTAACATTTCCTGTTGATTATGAAGATGGGGATGAGTTTGACGTTCTAAAGTGGTGGAAGGAAAAAGAAAGAATGTTCCCAATTTTATCAAAGATGGCTAAGCAAGTACTAGCAATGCCGGTATCAACAGTTGCCGTGGAACAAGATTTAGTGCGGCCGACAACGTGCAAGTGCTAACGTAGAACTCAAGAAGTGTGCATCGCCCCCACCCACCACTTTATGGAAGAAACAACCGAAGATGGTGAAGATTCCAATTGATTATTATTTATTAGAAAATGTATTTCATGTTTTAAATTTTTCTCAATTGTCAATTGTACTACATATTTCAAATAAAAATAATTTAACTTTTTATATCCAACAATTCTTGAATTAATATATAAAAAAAAGTACACGGTTTGACCCGGCCCGGCCCGATTAATACCCAACCCGCCACCCGATCATGTAGCCCAGCCCGAACCGGACCTGGTAGGTACCCGGGCCGGTTCCGGGCCTCACTTCTCCAAAAAAAAGCCCGGTCAGAACCGGACCGAGGCCTGACCCGGCCCGAACAGAGTCCATGCCTACTCCAATACACCCTAACAACTACTATGCATATTATATTGACTTAGCCAAGAGGAAAAAGAACAAAAAGTAAATGTTGGGACCAAAGCAGCCGCTCTCGGTCCCGAAATTTGGTAGCCGGGATCGATACCTACCCACTCTGCCACAATCCCAAGTTCCCAACCTGAAACCGATAATCTTAATTCCAGCCACCCCCTAGCAACCAGCCTGTCCCAAATCGGACCGGCCCTAGGACCGAGATCTTGACAACCCCTATCTTTGGGACAAGGGGTCGTGATGTTATTCCTTGTCCATCATAGCTCCTTAAGTAATTGTCATGCGGACTTCTGCCTAGTTAGCTTTTTTTGCGTTTTAAAAAGCGTTTTAAAAAACGCGTTCAAAACGAAAAATAATGTCGGTCCGTTTAAAAAGGATAAAAATCCTACTTCCAGTATAAAACGTATTTTTCCCGTATTTTACAAAAAAAATAGAAAAATGAAATGATAAATTGAATGCATGTATTGAATGCATAGGAGATCAACAATTGCTTAAAAGCAAACAGGAAACCTCCTTCCCGCGACACCGTGTGTTTGTATTGTTACAATACAATTATTAAATACTAAAATTAATTGCATGACAGCTAAAACTAGCATCCTAAAAGACTAAAACATAAAATACAACTAAATTTCTGATATTTTTCCAAACAAGCATATCAAATTAAGTTTTTTCTAAACCTGACATTTTTATAGTATAAACTTTTACACATAAACAGTAATAAGCGTGGCAGTCGTACAACTTTTCTCATACGTCACCCATTATCTTGATGAAAATGATGAGTTTATCTTGAATGTTATTTGATGATCATATCAAGATAATGATTTTAGTTTAGTCTCATTCAATTGTTATTATGTCTTATTTTTTGATATTATTTTGCAAAACTATGTCTTGGACTTATTACTATTTACTACTTGAATAGTTGAATATGTGTATACTTTTATTTCTTCTTACTATATATGCTATTATGTGAAGTATATAATTTAAATGTTCAAATTAATATGCCATATTTTTTGTCCGAATTTTTGTAATATACTACCTCCGTCTCAAAAAACTTTGTCATTTTCAAAACTTTGACCGATTATATTTTTTTATTGAAAATTATTTATAATATAAAAATTATATGAAAATGTTCTTCGTTAAAATTACTCTCATAAAAGTATAAAATTTATAATTTTCATAATATTATACTCATCAAAATCAATGTTCAAATTTTTTGAAATGGCGAAGTTTTTTAGGACGAAGGTAGTATCTCATATTATACACGTATACTTATTTATACGTTTTTTAAAAGTCAACGTTTTTTTCAACGAATATTTGACCGTTTCTTTCATTCATGTTACCAAATAAAACGTGTACGTATTAAACCTCATTTAATTCTCGTACCGTATTTAACTAACTATGGACTTGTGTTTAGGCCTCCTTATCCGTTGATGGTTTTACTTATGAGGAGTCGAGTTGATCTTGAACTGTCATGTGGATGTAGAACGCGAGTCCACATTCATATACTCCATTTCGCATCAAGTACTAGTTAGTGCTTACTGGTTTCAAATTTTTGGTAGAATGTCTTCCTTTATTTAGTTTACTTTGTTTGACTCAAGTGTCCACAATTCAGTTGGATCCCAAAAGCAAGAATCTTAATTGAAACAGCCAAACAGATAATACGTGTACGGTGTACAGATTGAAACATAGGAATGATAGGACTAACTACTATGGACCCAACTTCTAGTCTCATCATTTTCATCATTTTCATTTACCCCAGTGCAGCAAAGGCTCCCACCTACGGTGGGGTAAGGGGATGAGATGTACGCAGTCTTACCCCTGTACTAAAGCACAGAAAGACTGTTTCCGGATGATCCATAGTGAAAATCGCATCCAAAATTGCATGGACTAACTTCTACTCCATAATAAAGAAGCGTAGACAGTTTAGTGAACCATTTAGCTTTATTCCATCATAATCTCAAACCAAAAAATAATGAATCTTTGGATCCATTGCAAATGATGGAAAAACCCAACTTCTAGTCTAATAGCTCTAATTCCTACAATATTTTAAGCGCATCTAAAAACATTACTCAGCAAATTTTGGAGGAACCAGACCAAAGCATACCCGTTCTGTTACCCATGCGGATTCCAGAATCATTAGCCGGCTTGTTTCCATTTAAAATCCGCACTCTTGGTCTGGTTGGGTTCTACCATATTTTTAGTTGTGAAAATGTGAAATTGAATCTCTGACTTTTGAATAACATAAAAGTAGCAGTAAGTTCTTGCTGTCACATTTTAATGGAGGTATACCTGTCTATCTCTTGTTATTCTCAACTATAACAAGCTAACAAAAATTTGAATGAAATGGCCTCGCAGATTACAGAAAAGCAGAAGCATACATTATACAACGAATTTGACAGTGGTCTCTGAAGAGCCATGTTTCCAAAAATGCGTGAATACCAAAAAATCAAGCCTCTTCCAACTTTAAGCGAGGAACGATATTCATCGATTGAAGTTCCTGTAAACATGACATCACCAACAACATTTAAGGGAAAATGGTATTCCACTCTGAATTTCCTTATTTCACCGAACGAGTGATAAAATTAATACTAACTCCTTCCTTTTAAGTTAGTCAACTTTGAATTTTCTAGTCTAGGATGATAAATTTTGATCAATCATTTTAACTAATATGTACTCACAGTATTTTTTTTTTTTTGAAAACTTATAAATTTTATACTTTCATATTGCTATTTTTAATAAAGAACATTTCCATATCTATGATGTAAAATAGGAAAACCCGGTAAACTTTGTATAAAATAATATAAATACCGTAAACTTTGGAGGGTGAGATATCAATACCCCAAACTTGCATATGTAATATATATACCCGAACTTTATATAAAAAGTTATTTTTGCACTATTGTTGTATGTCTTTTACAAATATAAATTTACTGGAATATGTACATAATATAAAATACTCTAAGCTTTGTTAGGGTGCAGTAAACGATTTAAAATTTTATTTATGATTTAAATAATATTACATCCAGTACATCTAATTTTAATTGCATCCTCATAAATGTTGTATTTAAAATTTTAAATTATGTACTTAACACCATAAATTACATTTGTGAAAAAACATATGATCATGGTGCTAAAACAACTTTCTATACAAAGTTTGGGGGGTTTAATGCACCAAACCGCCTCGTGAAATATATATTTGGCGCATTAGCACTCTATCATTTAAAAAATGCGTCAAACCCCCCGTGTTATAATTAATCATGCGCAAAATCCCCTCCAAGAATAAATTTTACAATTTTAAAACCACTTTTCTTAATAATATGGTTGAGTATGCATGTAACTTTGTCAAAAGTTCTACATTATACAAAAAAACTAATCATTTTTAATTTTTTGGAATTAAATTTGTTCTTGGAGGGGGTTTTACGCTTGATTAATTATAACACGGGGGGGTTTGATGCATTTTTTAAATCACAAGGGACTAATGCGCCAAATTTATATTTCACAAAGGGGTTTAATGCATTAAACCCAAGTTTGGGCTATATATACTACATGTGTAAGTAAATGGAGTTTGGAATTCCGAAGTAGGACTACTATGAATTCCAAAATAGCACTACTATGTTTTTATTCCTGAACTATGTTTCTAGAAAAAAGTATTGATACACAGTCATTAAAGCGTAAGAAATGGCAAATCAAAGGAAAATAATTTGAAAATAAAAAGGATGTATAACATTTTATAAGGTACACATTCACCAATACTTTTAAAATAACTTTTACATTGTTTAACTACATGAATCTAATAAAAATAAATAATTGGTTTTTGAATTACAATTTTTATCTACCAATGAGGGTGTTCATGAGTCACAAGAACTTCTTAATATTACAATAGTATGTATGACATCATTATTTTTAGAATAATATTATATTGGTAATTCATATACATTGTAAATAGTATATTTGTATTTAAGATAAAATAAGTTAAAGTTTATTATCTATGCAATAAAGTCTTTTTAGAACGTAAGAAGTAAATGAAGGGGGTTTTCCCTTAATATTATTAAATTAAAGCTAATATCCGAAAAAGTGACCACATTTATATTTGGACAAAAATGTGACTAATGCACAATGACATTTCTGCAGCTAATCTCCGCAGTGACATCTCCAACATCGCCGACCACAGTGACACATGTGCAGTGACATCTCCGCCGCCATCGCCCGTGTCACTGCCGCCAGTACTGCCGCCGCCGGCCACAGTGACACATCCGCAGTGACAACTCCTTAGTGACATCTCTATCTCAACCTCTAGCCTGGTTGTCCGACCACCGCTACCGCCAGCCAAAGCCTCTAGCCACACTACCAACTCTGTGGTGACACGCTTAAATGACACCTCCACCGTGACCCACCGCTGCCGGTAACCACCAGCCCCAGCCCCAGCTGTCACTGTGACCCGTCGCCGCCGGTAACCACCAGCCCCAGCCCCAGCAACAGCCCGCTGCCCAGACCCACACCCTCAGCCATAGCCCCCTTCTCTGCCTAAGTGCACTACCCCCACCCCCTCCCCTGCTCTCCCACTGCTACCCATCCCCACCCACAGCCTACCCGCTCCAGCGCCACCCAGCCCCGCCAACACCTGACCTTCCACAGCGCCGCCCAGTCCCTCTGCACTTCGCCCTAGCCCCCAGTCCTTTATCCCCAACCTTAGCTCCTACCTGCAACCCACCCACAACATCGTAACCCTAACCCTCAGCCAACCACCTCCGCGTCGTTGTCCTAAATCCACAGACGCAGTGCCGCTGCCGCCCTCAAATTGAACCGTAACAGTCAGATCTGGCAGTTTAGCTTGGTTTCGATGGAGATTGGGGCTGTGAGTGGCGGCGTAGGTTGGGAAGCTGATATAAAGCAGGAACGAAGGCTTTTGGCGTCGAGCGTGAAGGATATCGATGGCGGCAAAGCTTGTTGGACTGCCATCCCCCTCCCCACCGGAGGGAAAGAGATGAAATAGAAAATCCGATGTAGAATAGGAGAGGGCGACGAGGTTGAAGATGATGGTGAGCTCTTCTCGAAGATGGTGGTGAGTTCAGCGGCAACGAATTCGGTGATACAACTGAAGGTAGACCTGTCCCCGGTTCGGAACTGAACCGGAACCGGGTTCACATGATCTAAAAACTGTGTAACTAGTGTGTCTGGTATTTAATATCGTTTGATATATATTTTACAAAATTGAGTACTAGTTATCGAATAAAGATAATTAAACATTACAAAACTAAGAATTTTTATATACTATCCTCCGTATCGCATTAATTGCAACATTGGAATATATACACTATTCATGTACTTTACTTTGACTACATTTTATTTATAAATGTAAGTGAATTATTTTTTTTTTAAATATTGTAAAATTCATCTCATTACCAAGTTTTATAATCTGATTTTTATTTTATTTTTACTAATACAGAATTAAACATAATGACGGTCAAAGTTATGTGTTGGCAAACGTGAAATGTTGACCGTTGCAACTAAAAAGAGACGGAGGAAGTAATAAGTATCCCAAAACTTAACCAATGAGTTGTTCTATTGTTTATTTATTTAAGTTATTTAATTATCTTAGGTGTTTCTTCTTTTAAATCTCCGATTAAGTACTCTCTTCGTCCCCCTATAATTGTCCCATTTTTTCATTTTTGGATGTCCCTCTATTATTGTCTCATACCATATTTGGTAACATTTGTGTGACTCTAATTCATTCTTACTTTATTCCCACTTTATCAACTCATTATGAACCACATAATTATATTTTTCTTAAAAACCACACCACTCCCTTATGTCCTAATATTAGGGGGGCGGAGGTAGTATTACATTATGTAAGACTATAAATTAATTTTGAAAACTAAAAGTTAAGGGGGTGAACCTAATTAAAGTATGAAACTTTTAGGAAAATATTACATAAATTGTAGAAAATTTTGAAAAACCAAGGAGGGCGGTTGCCCCCAACCCCGCCCCCTGTCCCCTTAAATTCATCCCTGATTAGACGATATAGTAATACCGATAGTAAGTAGTATAGCTTTTGTGTTTATTAATTACTACCTCCATCCCCCTAACTTTGATACAAGAGTTCTTCAAAAAAAACTTTGATACAAGAGATCTTCAAAAAAAAAAAACTTTGATAGAAGAGTAGGTGATGCGGCTACCAAAAAAGTGAATATATTTGATTGATACTGTATTGATAAATTGAGAATAAAGTAGGAACAATTTAGAACCACACAAACTTTACCAAATTTGATATGGGACAATTTTAGTGGGACGTACCAAGAACGAAGAAGGGACATTAAACATTAAAGTTGTAACTTACATATGTTTGAAGTAGACATAAACATGACTGTTTTTGCTCTTGGGTCGGGTTTTCAGCAGGTTTCCACGCAGGTTAGCAGGTTTTACCGGGTTTGGGCTGATTTGCGGATTTGATATATCTGGCCTAGTATTTCAAGCGGTACACTGGTTTCCAAGTTGACCCGCCCGGGTCGCGGTTCGGGTCTCATAACATAATGAAAAAATACTAAGATGGCAATTTTGACATTTGATCCCATCAATGTTCCTCATCAAGTCTAGTTTATTCATACCAAATTTCAGCTCAAAATTCGATCGGGAAGGCATTCAAATAATTCGTTTAAGTTAACTGCGCCAAATTATACATAGAAAAACGCAGTTAACTTCAACGAATTATTTGACTGCCTTCCCGATCGAATTTTGAGCTGAAATTTGGTATGGATAAACTAGACTTGATGAGGAACATTCTCAAAAAAATTCATCAAAAAATTCCACCGGAAACCGCCCCAAACGGCGGTGTTCGGACGGCGTTCGGACTGGGAGGTGCTGGACCTGAGAATTTTCCTATATATATATATATATATATATATATATATATATATATATATATATCCTTTTTATTTTTATATTATCCTTTTTATCTTATCTTATCTTTCTTATCGTGTGGGACTAAGGCTTGAATGTTGTTGTTCCCATTATTCCTTCTTTAGCAAATTGGGACAAGGTCATCCGTTGTAAACTTTGCCACAGCACACAAACTTTCATGCCAATGTGGTTGGGAGTAAGGTCTTGCTCATGATGATGCAGATGAGTAATAACTTCAAATTTAAATCAGAATCATAAATTACAGTACCGTAATTTAGAGTATTAGTTAGTAGTAGTGATATTGAATGTCATTAATTTTAAACCAACCAAGCGTACCTGGATTAGGAGCTTGCATGCATATGGCAACTTCAAGGTAGATATATTATCCCCATTCTTACATGTTGAACAAACGCCAGTTTTCAGTTTGTAGTTGTAGTATCCCAATAAACCACATTTCTCACAAACCTACAATAAGAAGATCACAAGTTAATGGCAGGAAAAACATAAACCTGGAATATAGCACACAAAATGGTAACCAGAATAATAAGCATATTGATCAAGACATAATTCCATGAATAAATTAAAGGTCCATTTGGAACTCGGATAAAGCCAAGGAAAGAAAATGAGGAGAAAAGATAGAAAATTTGGATATTAGTTTAATTCATCATTTGTATAATTTTGCAATATAGACTACGAAATCTATATCATTGCAAAGATAATACTCGCTCTGTCCCTTATAACTTTGTCACCTTTTTTATGGATATCCCAAAAACTTTATCACTTTCCCTTTTAATCAAAGTATTTGTAGTTACTAATATTTCTCTTTCTTCTGCACAAATCTCAACAACAAAGTTTTTACTTTATTATTTCTCGTGCAAGTCAAACTTGTCAAGGTACACACATAAATGACAACAAAAACAAAAATCTTTGTCCACGTAGCAAACTCCACCCTTCCATTACCACTTTCTGATTTCCAAATACAGTTGAAAGCCACTCTGTAATCAAGGGCAATTGATTTCCGAACTTGGTTGATTGTCTCACCTGAACCTCAAAGGGATCGCTTGAAATCATCATGCGCTCATATATTAACATACTAGCTCCATATGCAATTAAGCAATCCCTTTCCATTTCTCCAATACGTAGACCTAAAACATAATAAAAAATTAAAGAGTTCCCGAAAGATGAGTAATAATAAGACAAACCAGAAATAGCTTCAGTAGGTTATCATGCCTCCATTTCTACTTCTTCCTTCAGTAGGTTGTCTTGTGAGCATGGCTCGAGGGCCATGACCACGAGCATGAATCTTATCTAAGACCTGATCACCAATAATGTACGCGATAATAAATAATCACTAGCCATTTTCAAATACATCCAAATAAAAATTTTAAGATTCAGACAAATTAACTTTTACATAATAAAGCATATGTTAACATTTTCTTCTTGATTAAAAACAAATGGCATTAAATGATTAAAACATGATCAAACTCAAGAAACTAAATCGCCGCATGACCAAGAGTGATGGATTGAAAAAACCCTAACGCCACATCATCTAAGATCTTGGCCAAAAGACTGTATCTCAGCACTTGATCCTTGATTCGTTTGTTTCCATCTCCGTCCGCCGATTCAGTCCTGTTTTCAGTTATGAGAAAGCTTTGAGGGCTAGAGCCGGCCCTTCAAAACCCTAGGCGGCGAACTGCTGAACGAATCTAATCTTCTGGCTTTCTCTTCTCCGATTGACAACAATTTTCGATGATGGCGATGTTTTCTGGGCAGTAACAAATCAGAGGTTTTCTTATGTTGTTGCTCTTTTTTATATTTACCTTCTAGGGTTTTGGTTTTGGTCCGGCTTTTCGTATGGCCGAGAGTTATGTCCACTTGAGGTGAGCGTGGGTTTCGTTCTTCTCCTAGCAATGTCTAGATGTTGTTTTGCCAGACAGGTTCAACTTATTTCTTCTGAAGGTGCAACTACTCGCCCTCCCCCTGAACCATCGTCTCACTTTGGGAAAAAGATATCGCTCAACTGGATCTTCTTTTCGGTGGCTGTTCAAACCGATGATTCAGACACTTTCAACTCAATTGAATTTCCTTTGTTGATAGCTGGTCAAATCAATTCTTCCTTTCCGGTGGCGGGTGAAGCCGGATATTTTAGTTGTAATTTTTTATTCTCTTTGGAGTAACAAGAGCAGCAATGTTGTTAGACTAGACTACATTATTGCGAGATTAACGATCTGGAAGGATTCATTGGATCTTTTCCGTTCTATGTCTCATCCCATTGTAGCCTTAAGCTACTTATTAGCTTGTATTTTTGCTATCATTTCATGAATAATTTAGCTCTTTGATTTCAAAAAAAAAAACTCAAGAAACTAAAGGGCGATCATATATGGACAGTTCAATATATCTAAGGTAGGGACGGGCCTTGTCCCAGAGACCGTGACAGGCCAGTCTTTTGCCTGGATGCAGAACTGATTTCTGGAACAGGTCCTGGAACAATCAGGTATGGGATACCAGCCCAAACCGATTCCTCCAAAATAGACCCAGACTTGACCGCCATCAGTTCCATTTTTTAGCAGAAGAGGAATTGGATCTAGAACCAACCCAAGAACTGAAGACCAACCGGGTAACCCGGTTCTGGTTCAGGTTCCACCCTTTATATGACCTAAAACCGGACGGGTCCACCCATAATCTGTAGACTGAGATGATCAGGACACTAATACCCATCTCATTTTACAACCCACAGTTGAGATTAAGCCTCAAAGGATGAGTACTTTTTATGGGACCTTTTGAAAACACACCCAATGTATGTGTTATTCTTTTTATTTGTTTTGTAGAGCTAATACATATCAAGTTAGCTCAGTCGTTTTTATCTTTATTTTGACAAGTTTTAGAATCCTCTCTTTCCCTATTATTTTTTCTGGTTGGGTCTTTTCTTATTAAATTTGTTAATTTTATTGGATACAAATTCTCCTTCCAATTAATTTAAATGAATTGAAGGAGGAGCCATATGAGATGGAAATCTCATGCACGGTTCAACATAGTGGCAGTAAGGATGACTTATTTGTAACTTGATGGGTGTGTGCACAGGCGTGGATGTGCGTGCTAGCCAAAGTGAGGAGAAAATGTGCAAAAAATAAGTCATCCTATGATGTAATTTTTTTTCAGTGCTAGATCCGGCCACCGGCGAAAGTCTAGTCTTGAAACATCCCAAACCCCCAACGATCCAATCAGATATCACAAACCCATCCAAGGCGGACAACAGGGGTTTGACACCAACTCAGGTCACCGGTGGAAAAGGCGAACATGAAAAGTGGAGCCCGCCAGATTGCAGCACAAACCAGAGTCTCTGATAGGTCCCCAACCGTCTAAAGTAGCCGACAAGATGGCCACCAGCGCGTCCCCCACCGGTGATTCGCCAAGACCAGACTACAACAACTTATCCGACCCTGTGTTCAGGGACATAGAGGCTGTGGCGTCAGAAGGCCTTCACCTAGGAGGTAGAACCACCAGGGGAAGAATGAAAAACGTGCACAATGTTCATTGTTGGTGCAGCCAGACCCCTGTATGAAGTCCTCGCCGAACTGTATGTCCCACGAAATCAGCAAACTGTTGGACAGCCGTGGGAGAAGAATCTTCAAGAATGAACCGTGAAAAACCTTTTCAATGTTTCCAAAAACTGTTGGACCCTATGGTGAATGTAGCCGCAGCCATGAGACCCACCAGAGCCAGGAGGGCTCCGGCAGCGGTGACCACCGTCAGTGGTGGCACCGGACCTGAGGAAGAGGAAGGGAGAGCGACCTAGGAGGAGCCTAGTGAGAGACGCTCTTAACTCTCTCTCCAACAAGGATTTCTCTAAAGTTTACTATAGGAGGGGTTAGAGGGTAATTATCTAATTAATGAAGTGATGTTAGGATGAGCTGGAAAAAGAATAAAGGGAGTCGGGTAATGGAAATAGGGGTATCTGAGGATTAGTGAGTTTGTTGGAGAGAGGGGTCCTCTCGAATGGTCTCCAGATTGTTATTTTCTTTTGCTGCAAGTTATTGAGATTTCCATAGTAGTCTGAATTCTTCTTCTACCTTTGAGTAACATAACTACTACATTATCGGGAGTGTTGTGTCCTATCACTTGCTGAGCTGGCTAATGTAGTGGAAGAATGGAATAAATAGAAGGGAGGAAGAGAGAGCTAGGCAGTCTGGTAGTGCAAGGCACCCTCGAATTGCCTATTCTGTATTCCTCTCCCTATTTTCATCTTTATATGATGACATTCTAATCTGTGAGCTTGTGATTGATTGTTTGACATGCTTATTCCTGTATATGTTGGGACAATTGTACTGTTATCTATCATACTTGATCAACTTTCCATTTTTAGATACTACAACCACATCAAAAGACGAAAATATCCTTACTTCTTTAACTTCTCTTTCCACGTTTTTCATCTATTCTCTCCTAATTTTTGAATTTATGTTTCCACATTTTTCATCCATTCTCTCCTACTTTTTCACTTTTTTCCATACTATTCACTGTCACTACCATTTTACTCCTAGATTTCTTGAGAAGCCTATGGATGCAACTAAATGTGAATGGAGTGCATGTTGTGGGTCAACTTAAACCAGTCACATAGACAGAAAAATAGCAGTTCCATTTCAATATAATGTCAAAGATAAATACTTTGCTTCAGTTTCTGGGTCTCACCATGTGCTTCAGCTTCTGGTAATAAATTGGCCCCATAAAGATATATGCTTGTAATGGCGAGCCATCAATACCTAGATTGAAGAATTTGGAAGAATTGAATCTAAGGAAAGTTCACATACCATCAACCAGCATTGGATGAAATCATACGGATAAAGGACGCTGACCTGAATATATAAAGTCCTTTCCATTGTAGCTAAACCCATGCTTCACAAGGGTTTCACTATTACAAAAAGATGTGGCTATGCCTTATATTGAGGATAATAAATCGAATGTTCGCAACTTTAAAAACGGTTGATCGAAAAAAGCAAAATACCTTATAGTTTCAACTCGATCTGCATGGCCACTGCTTTCCCCAAAGGCACTTCCATAATGGAACCTACCACAAGAAACTCCTGCTTTACCTCCAAGAAGCTCTATCATCTTTCCAACAGTCATTCGGCTGACATTTATAGCAAAGATGAATTAGCTGTATCAAATCACGTACTTGCATTAGGTAAAAATTACATGGCAGGTCAGGTTAACATGATATGAACTTTTTATCCAACGTTAGACAGAAAGGCAGATTGTGCTATGTTGAAACACGTTTGAAACTAGAAGAGTTGAAGGGTTGTTGAACAAACCTCTCATGTTAGTGTATGTTAACTTTGATTTGAATTTTGAACAAACATATTCTGTTAATTTTAGTCTTTTTCTCTCCTTTGGTGGCTATATATACAAGCACTTTTGTAACCTAATAACAGAGAAAGTACAGACTTTCTTTTTCCCACTAAATGTGGAGCTTAGTGATCATCATATTCTCAAGTAAAATTGGGAAACTACGAGAACCACCATCATCCCTGTTTAACATGCCCTTGACTCAGTCTAACTCGGTTAGGATCTAGACACGGAAGTGACATCATATTTCTCGTAACCTCTCCTGCTTCATCATATTCTAATTCATTTCCGTTGGAGCAGTATATGTGCAACACAGCTGGAGAAGGATATAGCAGTTTACATTTTTTTCTTCAGTGCTGTATATTAGTGTATTCTCAGTTGTAACTTGCAAAACCAAGCTTTGAATGTGCTTTTCATCTATTCAGGAGACGAGAAAATACTACATACAGTTTAGTATGATATACACATATGCCCTTCGCCTCCCAAAGAACTTCATGTTTGGCCAATGCATAACAGTTAAATTTCTATAAGGTACGGGGAAAATGTCAGAAAGATATATTTTGACAAACCTCAAACAGTCGTTCATACTTGAACATTTTATAGTTACCTTGGAAATCCATGAGGATTCATGATTAGATCAGGGCATATGCCCCGTTCAGAAAATGGGAAATCTTCTTGCTCGACTATGTTTCCACAGACTCCTTTTTGACCATGTCTGCTACTAAACTTGTCACCAAGCTGGATGAAACAGCAGCTCAAAAATCATTTCACTGCCTAACAGACAATTCCAAGCCTACAGAGAATATCATGTCTAGTACAAGCAATTAGCAGGGACCCACCTCCGGCCTTCGAGTGTGACGAATCATAAAATTAACACATAAATTGTTGTTCTTATCAGAGAACAGAGCGACTCTATCCACAGCACTTATTTGTCCTTCAGGACACTTGTTGTAACCAAGCGAAAGTTTCACTTGTTTGTATGCGCTGGAATATGAAATAAATAGAGAGTGTTATCTGATTAAAGAGAATGTAGAAACAAAAATTAACATAACAAGACAGAAGAGATACCTCTCTGGAAGCGACATTGGTGACTGCACTGATGGCCCGGTTGTGATATGCGGGGTTCCCTTGTACATGTAAACATCGCGGGCTTTAATGAGTTCTCCTGGAGAAGCTAATCCATCATCGTCAAGAATCTGGACCAATAGGAAAGAAAATATGCTGAACTTGAGCCCTGTTTCTCCTTTTGCAATGAGTAACTTTAATTTCATTTGGAATAGTTAGCATCTTAACCCACAATAAATCATCAAACATGATGTATAATCAACTTGGACTATCATCTAGACTAGAAATAAGGTCCTGATACATGTAAACAACTTAAGCCAGAGCAAACATACCCAATATATTCCCATCGGAAGTAGGGTTAGGAGAGGTTGAGACGTGCATAGACCTTACCACTACTACCAACCCCTATAAGCAGAGACTGTTTCCATGAAGAAAACTGATTTAGGAAAAAATTGGGAAGCTCTAGAAGAAGTCAAAGCTTCACATTTCAAAACTTTGGAAACCACTACAAATCTACAAATCCCTACGTGGATTGAAAGAAATAGAGAAAAATGTCTCTATTCTGTTTTTGTTATATTACATATGAGAAGAATGTTGAAGAATATATACAGCTAGAGAAGTCGAAAAGTAAGGAAGGAATCCTACTAATTAAGATTTCCTAAGAATAAGGGATATTTAAAGATTTTGAGATCTATAAGATATCACCTCATAAATATATAATCGGGTAAGGATGTTTTCTTTTGGACTGTTTTCAGACCAGACCACACCAAACCAGATCAGACCAGACTAAGACTTAAACAGATCAGACCAGACTAGACCAGACTTGGACAGTTATAAAATACACAGAGACCACACATTACCAGATCATATGACTTAAACAAGCCAAACCTGACCAAACTTAAACAAATCAGACCAAACAAACAAACTTCAGTCGAAAAAAGAAAACATCCTAAATCAAGAGCAACAAAACCCAAGTCTTAGTCCCAAAAGATTTTGGGGTCAGCTAACATGAATTGACATAAGATATCGACCAAAAGGGAGAGAAAAATACGACAGATAAAAAGATAAGCTATGATGAAAAAGATAATATAAAAAAGAGATGGACATACATAAAAAAGATAGAATAAAAAGGATAAAAAGAATATATATATATATATATATTCTTTTAGGGTATCAGTATGAGTGCATTTTAGGGATGAATGCAAACTAGATGATAATTTTATTATTGAACTGTTTTCACCATGTAGTCCAACTAGGGCATTAGTTGGAAAAGAGAGGATGGCATCTTATGCACTTGCCGCTCATTCCAAATTAGAAGCCTACCATCCCTAATAACAAAAATATACCTGCATCTCTTGAGCATCAGATCCATTTCGATGTGGTCTAAGTTTCCTATCAAATGTATCATTTTTGTGCTTCTGGTAACTGCCATTGGCTCTGATAAAAAAAATAGTCATTTCAAATGGAGAAATAGCTACATTGAAATCTTAGCACACAAAAATATGAACAGGAAATAGACTCATGGCATTGGTTATGTACTTCTTCATTAAAATGCAGCGACCAAAACCACGGTCAAGAGAAGCCTTGTTCATTACAATTGCATCCTCTATATCATATCCACTATAACTCATCACAGCAACAGTTGCATTCTGTCCAGCACCTAGTTTATCATATCCAACCTACAAACATAATTGTTAGTTCAGAAGGAATATGTCATCTAATCAGCAACAAGATACAATACTAACCAGCTCAATTGTTCTAGTTGTCAATAAAGGCCTCTGAGGATACACTAAAAGGTATATCAACGAGTCCATCCTGTACAGCTGCAAAGTGTAAAAAAATAGTAAGGTTACTCCATTTGAGATGGAAACACATCACGGAAGGGTAGAGCACTAGAGCATTAAGGTGCATGAGATGCACCACAAGAGAAATAGATAAATAATTTTTTTACTATAATAGCAGGGACTAATACATTATCCTAATACAATCGTCAGACCCATTAGAATTGTCTAGAATGCTTCTACTGCGGCACAAAAACAGCTATAGCACTAGAAACCCACGAATAATCATGCAGCAGATAATAACTATTAGAATAGTAACAGAGATTGAAAGAGATGAAGAGATTTCTTATTGATCAACAAAGACAGTACATGTATTTATAATACAGAAGCTTACAGACTTGTAACTAACTACAAACAGCTCTAACAGACTAACTATTAATAGCTAGATAATACTAAGCTATTACAATAAGCGTGCGTACAGTATTCCTAACATTTCCCCCTCAAAGTTAGGGTGATTGATTTGGAAGATCAATCACACTAAGTTTGGTCCTTAAGTCAAGGAAAGATGAGGCAGACAAAGGTTCTGTTAGGACATCAGCACGTTGATGAGGAGCTGGGATATGGAATACTTCAAGCTGCTTAGATTTAACCTTCTCCCTGACAAAAAATAGATCAATCTCCATGTGTTTGATACGGGAGTGTAACACAGGAATATTTTCCAAACGAACAGTGCTGAGATTTTCACAAGAAACCCTTGGAGTAGTGAATGGAACTTGAAGTTCCCTGAGTAAAAATTGAATCAATAGAAGTTCAGCTGTTGTGTCAGCTAAGCTTCTATATTCAGCTTCTGCTGAAGATCTGGCTACTCTTAATTGTTTCTTGGACCACCAAGAAATGATATTAGGACCAGGAAAGATGCAAGATCCAAAGGTGGATCTTCTACAAACAGGATCTGATGCCCATTAAGCATCACAGAATGCTGAGATAGGTAGAGGCATGGTGGCCAGAGGAAGAGGTTCGATAATCGTGCCATATGTGATAGTTCCAGAGAGATATCTGAGGATATGCTTGACTGCTTTCCAGTGATCTTGTAGAGGTGTGACCATGAATTGACAAACTTTATTTACAGCATAACTAATTTCAGGTCGAGTTAGAGTTGCATACTGTAAGACTCCAACTATGCGTCTGTAAGTGGATGGATCAGGTAGATAGTCACTTCCTGTATTTGTGAGTTTGCAGCTGCTGACCATAGGTGTTCAGACTCCTTTTGAGTCGAGCATTCCAACTTTATGTAGGTCTCTCACATGTTTAGTTTTAGAAAGATATAGACTCCCATTTCCCAGTTTTCTGACTTCAATGCCTAGAAAGAAGTCAATGTCAGCCAAATGCTTGAGAGAGAACAATGAGTGCAACTTGTGAATGAGCTGTTGAATAGCAGTAGAGTTATTTACAATAACTAGGATGTCATCAACATAAATTAAGATGTAGATTTGAATCCCAGATGACAGAAAGATGAGTAGGGATGGATCACACTTGCTTTGCTTGAATCCTGCTTCATAGAGAACAGATGTAAGTTTGTGAAACCAGGCTCTAGGAGCCTGTTTTAGGCCATACAGTGACTTGTGAAGTTTGCAGACAAGAGAAGTGTCTTTTACTTGAAACCCTGGGGTTGAACCATATAAAACTCTTCATCAAGATTTCCATTAACGGCATTAAGGAATGCACTGTTAACATCAAGTTGTTGAATGGACCAGTTATGAGAGAAGGGTAAGTAAAAATCTGATGGTAACAGGCTTAACAACAGGTGAAAAGGTTTCTCCAAAAATCAAATCCAAACCTTTGATGAAAACCTTTAGCCACTAATCTGGCTTTGAATTTAATGAGAGAACCATCAGAATTTTCTTAATTCTGAAAACCCACTTGCAGCCAATGCCCATTAAGGCATCATATTCAGATTGCATGGCAGAGAACCAATGAGGAGATGAAAGAGCCTGCTTAACTGACTTGGGCTCAGTATGAGCTAATAGTAAGGTAGGATGAAGTCTAGGTTTAACAATTCCTAATTTTGCCCTTGTTTGCATAGGATGAGTGTTAGTTAGATGAATAGGAGTTGAAGAAGAGGAGGATGTAGATGTTGTAGGAGAAGACTGTTGATAAAACGAAGAGACATCATTAATCTAGGATTTATTTTCCTTATTATTACTGTAATTATGTGTCTTTAGTGCTTCAGGTTGTATTTAATAGCTGCTGCCTTTTCAGTTCTCAATCATTTATGTTTAGTATTTAGACAGTCACCTAGGGTGCTGAATAGACTCTCTCAGGATTCCTATATGTATAAATAGCTTATGTACTTCTTGAAAATGTATTAAAAAAAGGAAATAATATTCAGAAAACTTCATGGTATCAGAGTCAGGTTTCATCTAAGCCTTTTTTGAGTCTATCACCTCTCCAACGGTCATTTTTTGGGTGTCTCTACCCTTCTCTCTCTTTAACTCCCGGTGGAGTCTCTTCATCAAGGGTTTTATCATGTCTAAAGAAGCCGAATCAGCCTCAAGTAACCTTGATCACTCAACCATTGTTTCAGCTGCTACTGCAGCCGCGTTTGCTCTTCGAAACCAGAAATTTGATCTCCCTTCTATCCCGCCATCTTACCGTCTCAATGGCAGGAACTATCTTGGGTGGTCAAAGCTGGTTTACACTCTCCTACGTGGCAAAGATCTTGAAGACTATCTCACTGTCTCTACCCCAGAGGAAGGAGAGATTGATGCTGCTATTTGGGAGAAAACTAATGCCAACATACGGGTCTGGTTATGGGACTCTATGGATCCCAACATTAGCAGTACATGTTTATACATGGACTCGGCTAAAGAAATCTGGGATTTCATACAGCAGTCCTACTCTGTTGCTAAAGATGGCGCTTTTGTCTATGACTTATGGCTCAAAACAACGAATCTTAAGCAAGATTCACAATCTGTCACAGATTATGCAACTGACCTCCAACGACGATGGTCTGAACTTGACCAGTATCAAACGATGAAGTGGTCGAATGCTGCAGATGCAGCTCTTCACAAGAACTATATAAATCAGCAACGTCTATATTGCTTCTTGTCTGGTTTAAATCCCGAATATGATCAGACTCGGGGTCAAATTCTTGGCATTACTCCTCTGCCTTCCATATCTTCTGCCATTGCCACTATCAAACATGAAGAGAGCAGACGCAATATAATGATGAGTACAAATCTGATTGACAGTACAGCTCTTGCTGCCAAATCTACTCCTTCAGATGTTAAGGAAACTAAGGGTAGTAAGGGAGGAAGATGGTGTGATCATTGCAAGCGGTCCAACCATAATGTGGATACATGCTGGAAACTTTATCCTCATCTACAGAAAGAAAGAAAAAGCCAGGAAAGACGTGGAACTAGTGTTGGACGTGCCAACTCAGTCACTCCCACTATTGTTGAGAGCTCTACTAATCTTTGGCCCATTTCCCAGGAGGAATTAAAGCAACTTCGTATGATGTTACAGCCTCTTAATAACTCAAATGGTTCTGGTCATAGCTCTTTGGCCCTGCAAGGTAAAACCTCTACTATTTTTTGTCTCAATGCTTCGGAACAGAGTTCACAATCCCAATGGATATTAGACTCAGGTGCCACATCTCATATGACTGCCATACCCTCTTTACTCTCTAATTATCATCCATGTTTTACATCCACACACATTACTACTGCTGATGGGACACCTACAAAGGTTGCGGGACTTGGTACGGTTGTTTTTTCTGAAAAATTAAATCTGAAAAACACCCTACATGTCCCAAACCTGGCTATGAACATTGCTTCTATTTACAAACTCACAGTTGATCTTAATTGTGCTGCCATTTTTTCCCTTCCCACTGTTTATTACAGGATCTACACACGGGGAGGACGATTGGAATTGCTAAACAAAGAGATGGCATGTACTACCTTGATGCACTGTTTGTCTCCAAACCTCCACAAAAAGCTCTTACCACAATCAGAGCCTAGGCCTCTGATACACTTGGTATACACCCGTCGACACAAAGTACAAGATCACCCTCCATCTGTGGTTACTTCTCCTGATACTAATCCGATCTCGATCTCATGTCCTGAACCGATACCTGCATCTTCAGATTTTGTCTCTACATCAGATCTTGACCTCCCCATAGCACTACATAAAGGTACACGGTCTTGTACTCATCTTATTTATTCATTTGTGTCATATAATCAGCTATCATCCGCCTCTTGTTCTTTTATTGCTTCCATTGATTCAATTTTTGTTCCCAAATCTGTTAAAGACGTTTTGTCTCATCCTGATTAGCGACATGCCATGGTAGAGGATATGAATGCTTGGGATCATAATGGTCCTTGGGATTTGGTAGACTTGCCTACAGGGAAGAAGTCTATAGGATGTAAGTGGGTCTTTGCTGTAAAGGTTAACCCTGACGGATTCGTTGCTCGGTTGAAAGCTTGATTAGTTGCGAAGGGTTATGCTCAAACCTATGGGGTTGATTATTCTGACACATTTTCTCCTGTTGCTAAAATTAACATCTGTCAGGTTACTTATTTCTCTCGCTGCAACTCATGGTTGGCACTTACATCAGTTGGACATTAAGAATGCATTCTTGCACGGTGATCTTCAGGAGGAATTTATATTGAGCAACCTCCGGAATTTGTTGCTCAAGGGGAGTATGGGAAAGTCTGTCGACTTCGCAAGACTCTTTATGGTTTGAAACAGAGTCCCCGTGCATGGTTCGGGAAATTTAGCCAATCAATTGAACGATTTGGAATGATAAAAGGCAAATCAGATCACTGATCTGTATTTTACAGACAAACGAAAGCATGTATCACATGGCTTGTGGTGTATGTCGATGATATTGTGATTACAGGGAGTGATAATGCAGGTTTTTTGGCCCTAAATTATTTTCTTCATAGTCAACTCCAGACGAAAGATTTGGGCTCATTGAAATACTTCTTGGGGATTGAGGTTACACGGAGTAAGAAAGGCATATTTCTATCTCAACGTAAATATGTGCTTGACTTACTAACTGAAACAGGGAAATAGGGGGCAAAACTGATCAATACTCCCATGATTCTCAATGTACAACTCACCCATGAAGGTGTGCCATTTGAAGATTCGGAAAGATATAGATAGTTGGTTGGAAAGCTTAATTACCTCGCAGTTACCCGTCCAGATATTGCGTACTCAGTGAGTGTAGTAAGTCAATACATGTCATCTCCGACAGTTGATCATTGGAATGTTGTAGAGCATATATTATGTTACTTGAAGGGAACACCGGGATGAGGTATTGTTTATCAAACCATAATCACATGAGAATAGAATGCTTTGCAGATGCTGATTGGGCTGGATCTAAAGATGATAAAAGATCCACATCTTGCTATTGCGTCTTTGTTGGTGGTAATCTCATATCTTGGAAAAGTAAGAAGCAGAATGTGGTTTCTCGTTCGAGTGCTGAATAAGAATATCGAGCTATGGCACAATCGGCATGTGAGATAATATGGATAAACCATTTATGGAGTGAAATGGGATTGAAGACACCAATGCCTGCTAAACTCTGGTGTGATAACCAAGTTGCTATACACATTGCCAACAATCCAGTGTTTCTTGAGAGAACAAAACATATTGAGGTCAATTGTCACTTTGTTCGAGAAAAGATACAACAAGGATCGATATCTATATGATATGTGAAGACTGGAGAGAAACTTGGAGATTTGTTCACTAAAGCACTAATGGAATTCGTGTTGGTTACTTATGTAACAAGTTGGGCATGATAAATATCTATGCTCAAACTTGAGGAGGAGTGTGAAAAACATTATAATATTCTTTAGAATATGTTTTAGAATATTCTTCTATCTTTAGAATATGCTTTAGAATATTTTAGAAATATACTCTAGGATATTATTAGTATAGAATCTTAAAGGAATATTCTATCTTTGTAATGTATAAATAAGAACTTAACCTTCCAATGAAAGACACATAAAATCATTCTCTTCTCATTACTATTCTATCTTTTTATTCTTATAACACTTATTAGCCTTTACCATTACATTTCCTATTACATTTCCTATTATAAAAGTAGATTATGAACCAGTACTCCAGTAGTCCCATCTAAGCCTTCAAGATGACAGTCAAACATCTTGCACTTATACAGTGCACTTTGATCAAGTTCAAGTGACTGATATGCAAGTCATAGAGGCATAGAACATTTATTGTCTAAATATTTACATAATATGATATAGGGGGAACTGAGAACAACTACTAGGAAGTTTGAATGCAAGAGTGAAAACACAAAGAAACCAAACTTCTTCACAAATCACAATCAACAATTAGATTATAAATCAACACAGCAATGCTTTGAGTTTATGATGAAATAAAGCAAAATGGCTCACTAAACTGTCTGCGCTTCTTTTTTATGAAGCAGCAGTCAGTCCATGCAATTTTGGACGGGATTTTCACTATGGGTCATCCGGAAACAGTCTCTCTGTGCTTTAGTACAGGGGTAAGACTGCGTACATCCGACCCCCCCTTACCCCACCGTAGGTGGGAGCCTTTGTGACACTGGGGTAAATGAAAATGATGAAATGAAATGATGACAGCAATGCTTTGAGTTTATTATAAAGCATTTAAAAACGGTTGGCGAACTAGAAACATACAAAAGACAGCTTACCTGATTATAGGCAATATTGCCCATCGCTTGCTTGCCCATAGCACACTATGACATTAACCAAAAGAGAAAATAAAACAGGGTATCAAATAAAATATAAACTTACAATGCTATATTGTGTGTATATCTGTGTGTTTGTGTATATGTACGTATATACAATATACATGTGCTTGTAATTATTTTTGTGTGTATATATATACTTCTTTTAATTTCTTTGTAAATGTATGTATATATATACGTATGTGTATATATATCAAATGAGAACACCCTTCTAAAGTAAGATGTAGGAACTCTATTTCCAGCCATCCAATCGAAGACAACGGTTACAGTGAGCAACTTTCAATTTGAAAAGAGAATTAGATCGAGCAATTTTGATTATCCATTTGTAAAGAAACAGTGACTAGTTCATGACTACACTGTTGAAAGAACTTTATTCATGGTTCTCTAGAAGAAAGAGTTCTCATCTCTTATTTTCCCATTAGAAGTCAACACTATACACACATATGCATATATACACACATACATAGCACATACACACATTATGGGGTAGCAGTGGGGGGAGACCTGATATGTGTTCCTTGGTGACTGATTGTGATGAGGATAAGGAATCAAACCAGCAATAACGCCTAAGATCGTGAAAGGCTCTATTTCAATATGTGTTGTGTCTGGGGTAGCTTCTTTATCATACAGAGCAATCTACAAAACATTCAACTATTATAAGTCGCATCCATGTAGCTCACAATTGCTAACAGAAAATGCAACACAGATCCAAAAGCATACAGACCAACGCATTGTTCTGCTCATTTACATCAAGATACTCAACCAAACCCTCCCTCAAGAAGCTGTTGAAGTTGCGCACACCATCCTAAAAGAAGACAATATTTCAACAAGATGAAGGACCCAAACACAAGCTGACAAGCATCAAACCCAATTGTGTGAAATACCCTCAATTCTTTCATGTGATGCTCTTTGATCCTTGGAATGCCCCTGTCAGCAATTACTAGTGGACGACAGACCCGGCCTCCATCTGAAGCAATGTACACACAGGACTGCAGGATAAAAGTATAATGATAATTTGGTTTTTTAACTATTCATAACTCAATACTGATAGCATAAAATGATAAAACTATTATGTTCAAGTCAATACCTGGGAGATAATCTATGAAGTTTGTGTGTGTGTGTGTGTGTGTCTATATATATATATATATATATATATATATATATATATATATATATAGACAGTTAGACACACTCACTAACACACATCTATGTGTGTGTGTATATATATAGAGGGAGGTTCAAATACAAAGTACTCATCATATGAAAAATGAAATGTAATCTTAGAACCCCTTAAAGAATCAGTATGTCAGACTTGTTAGTACACAATGATGTTACTACAAAGGCACAATTAGCTGACACATGTCATTACTAAGAAAATAACTTATAACTACATTTAATTGCTATGTTCATTATAGCTTATATGTAGTATTCTGTTATCTATTACATCCTCCGTTGCACTAGCAGAAGAAAACGTCCTGATTCAAAAACTTTTTGATAAAACGGAGTGTTTTACAAAGAGTGGAGCTAATTTCTTTATAAAGTTTCTCAAAAGGAATTAAAGAAAAAATTAGAATTGCTGTCTTTATTAAATCAACAAAGTAAGTAAAAATGCAAAAGTATGATCAGTGACTTGTAATTGTGTACAATCAAGATGCCAAGTAGTTACATTATTACTTGATTAGTGTTAATACCAAATTTTGCACCTCATACATATTACAACCACAACATTACCCAAGTGACACAAAGGCTCCCACCTACGGTGGAGTAAGGAGGGTCGGATATACGCAACCTTACCTCTGTAGTAAAGTACAGAGAGACCGGAGACTGTTTCCAGATGACTCATGATGAAAATCGCATCGAAATTGCATGGACTGACTGTTGTTTCATAACAATGAAACACATATAGTTTAGTGAGTCATTTTGCTTTATTCTATCATATTCCCAAGCCAAAAAAAGTGAGTCTTTGGCTCCATTGGAAATGATGGAAGATACTTCATACATACTCCATTGCTTAATTTGGGCTTCGCCATTTTGTGGGACTCAATTTAGTTACTATACCATTTCAACGGAAGAAAATGTCCTTCAAAGTAAGATAAATATGTGTGAGGACTAAATTGAGTCCTAATTATACAGTCAAAGTTCAAACCAAATCCCAAACAAAAGAGGAGGATAAATTGAGTGAAAAGTGTATTCTTGAGGGACTAAAATGGGTATTACTTATCTATAAACCTTGACATAAGTCAGCCAAAGTTATAAATGTAATGGTGCGGCTGGTGTCCATAACATAGATTAGTGAGCATCTGAAAGCAGCGATAAAACCATCTACATTTCAAATTTTTGTGATATTATGATTACTTGGCTGAGAAGGAGGTAAAGAAATGTTATCGAGCATAAAAACAAACAATTATCTTCTAGTGAATAGTGACCATTCGCCAACTTTGTACAAAAAGCAGTCCACAATCTGAAATTCTTCTTATGTACAATTAGATTTTTTCAGTGGTGTCAGCACAGAAATAAAGAAATTTGCTGAGTCTTCAAATTCAATTTAGCCCGTAGATGAATGGATGAACATTTATTTAAAGTGAACAGTCACCATTGGCCTACTCTCACAAACAGTTCCATGACCAAGAGCAGTCCACAATCTGTAGTTCTTCTAATGCACAAGTGGATTTTTTTCACAGGTGTCCACAGAGAAATGAATAAATTTGCCGAGTTTTTGAAGTCAGCTAAGCTGGAAGATGAACAAATAGGATCTCTAACATAAGAAAAAACTGATCCTGTAACTGACTCTTATTTAAGTGCATCTACATCCTAGGATTATATGAAAATGAAGTGAGCAACAACAACAACAACATCCAAGCCCTAATCCCAAAAGATTTTGGGGTCAATTCATAGTTTGATTCATGTCATGTGATGTGACTAAGTGATACTTTTGGCCGTCACGCGCCTACCACAGCACCCTCCTTTATCCTGGCTTGGGACATGCATGATATCAAAAAAGTGATCTCATCATCATCATCATCATCATCATTACCCCAGTGCCGCAAAGGCTCCCACCTACAGTGGGGTAGGGGGGATCGGATGTACGCAGTCTTACCTCTGTACTAAAGCACAAAGAGACTGTTTCCGGATGACCCATAGTGAAAATCACGTCGAAAATTGCATGGACTGACTGTTGCCTCATAACAAAGAAGCGCAGACAGTTTAGTGAGTCATTTTGCTTTACTCCACCATTTTGATAACAAAAAAGTGATCTCATGGCGGATGAAAATGAAGTGAGCAAAGCGGTAAAATTTTTGAATATGAGGGAGATGTATACTATTTGTACAATAGTCAGATATCATGTTCTGGTGTTCCAAATCTAAATTATTCAAGAAAATGGAAACTGGAAGTTGTATGATTTGAATGTCGAACCCCCACACAGACAGAATTATTTAACGATGATGGTGATGGTAGTCAATGAGATTTCAAATTACTAGGATTTTAAGGGTTTCTTAATGTTGTGATGTGACAATGGGAACCTGAATGGGATTATTTGGGGATGATGAATGTGGATTGTGGATGCCCTAGCTGTAGCTATATAGCATCTACTGAGAATCACGTGATGCAATAGAAAGCGCTTATTTTACATAATACTTTAAATATTTGTCTTCTCGTTACTCGACCATTTATCACAACACTTCTCGTTCTAATAAATTGAATTTTTTTATTTCAAATATAATGTTCTTTTGTTGAACCAAGCAAAACTAAGATCAATGACTTTACACCAATCTGTATTCTATGGAGCAATTGGTCCCATACTCTCATTTAGTGCAAATGTATAGAAATGAAATGAAAACAAAAGGGGAAGGGAGCACTTAAACATGACATCCAAAAGGAAAACCATGTCAAACATTACCTGCTTTTCATTCACAAAGATGCTTATAAACTCGGCAATTTGACCAGCCCTCCGTAGCTTTCTCATGGCACTGGCAAACCGCTACGCATCAAGAATACAAGATAGGTGAATTGCAGTGAAAAACTTTTAAGGGAAAAACTTGGGTTACGCTGACTCTAACCTCTCTATCGATACTCTATAAAATCCCATGTACCAATTTCCTTTTTTCACATGATTACCATGCCTTTTGATTGGTTAATATCTATTCCACATAATTTATTCAATATAAAAAAAAGTTAAAATGCTTTCAAGTTTCATCCAATCAAAAAGAGTGGTGGACAAGGAAATATGAAATAAGTTAATTACAGTGAAGACTTTTATAAAGGGCATGTTGAAATATAGCATATAAGATAATAAATGATATTGGAAAGAAAAGGATTTTATGTATGTTTGATTGAAGGATCAAGACCCTATATATAGATTACAAAGATGAAATATTCCTATATAAGATGCTATACACTAATAATATCTAGATTATATTCCTAAAGCATATTCTTATTATTATTATAATATCTTTCACACTCCCTCAAGTTTGAGCATAGATATTTATCATGCCCAACTTGTTACATAAGTAATCAACTCGAATCCCATTTAAAGCTTTAGTGAATAAGTCTCCAAGTTGTTCCCCAGTCTTCACATATCCGGTAGAGATCAATCCTTTTTGTATCTTCTCTCGAATAAAATGGCAATCAACCTCAATATGCTTTGTTCTCTCATAAATACCGGATTGTTTGCTATGTGTATAGCAACCTGGTTATCGCACCAAAACTTAGCAGGCATTGGTGTCTTCAATCCGATTTCACTGAATAAATGGTTTATCCAAATTATCTCACATGCCGATTGTGCCATAGGACGATATTCTAATTCAGCACTCAAACGAGAAACCACATTCTGCTTCTTACTTTTACAGGAGACTAGGTTACCACCAACGAAGACGCAATAACCAGATGTCGATCTTCTATCATCTTTAGATCCAGCCCACTCAGCATCTGCAAAGCATTCTATTCTCGTGTGGTTATGATTTTGATAAACAATACCTCGTCCTGGAGTCCCCTTCAAGTAACATAATATATGTTCTACAGCATTCCAATGATCAACTAGCGGAGATGACATATATTGACTCACTACACTCACTGAGTACGCAATATCTGGACGGGTAACCACAAGATAATTAAGCTTCCCAACCAACCTTCTATATCTTTCTGGATCTTCGAATGGCATGCCTTCTTGAGTGAGTTGCACATTGGGAATCAAGAGAGTATTGCTCGGTTTTGCCCCTAATTTTCCTGTTTCAGCTAGCAAGTCAAGTACATATTTACGTTGAGATAGAAATATGTCTTTCTTACTCCGTGTTACCACTATCCCCAAGAAATATTTCAATGAGCCAAGATCTTTTGTCTGAAATGGACTGTGAAGAAAATTCTTAAGGGCCAAAATACCTGCATTATCACTCCCCGTTATCACAGTATCATTGACATACACCACGAGTAATTTGATACCTGCTTTTGCCACTCTGTAAAAGACAAAGTGATCTGATTGATCTTTTACCACTCGAAACCGTTCAAGTGATTGACTGAATATTCCAAACCATGCACGGGGACTTTGTTTCAGACCATAAAGAGACTTGTGAAGTCAACAAACTTTCCTATACTCCCCCTGAGCAACAAATCCATGAGGTTGCTCGATATAAACTTCTTCCTCAAGGTCACCATGCAAGAATGCATTTTTAATATCCAGCTGATGTAAGTGCCAATAATGAGTTGCAGCGAGTGAAATAAGTAACCTAACAGATGTTAATTTAGCAACAGGAGAAAAAGTGTCAAAATAATCAACACTGTAGGTTTGAGCATAACCATTCGCAACTAATCGGGCTTTCATCCGAGCAACAGATCCATCTCGGTTAACCTTAACAGCAAAGACCCATTTACATCTAATAGACTTTTTTCCCGTAGGCAAGTCTACCAAATCCCAAGTACCATTAACATCCAAAGCATTCATCTCCTCTACACCATGGCATGACGTCATTCAGGATGAGACAGAGCTTCTTTAACAGATTTAGGAACATAAATAAAATCAATGGAAACAATAAAAAAACACGAGGAAGGGGATAACTGAATATACGTCACAAATGAAGAAATAGGGTGAGTACAAAATTGTGTACCTTTACGTAGTGCTATTGGCAGGTCAAGATCTGATGTAGAGACAAGATCTGAAAATGCAGGTACTGGTTCAGGACATGAGATCGAGGTCGGACCAATATCAGGATAAGTAATCACAGATGTCAAAGGTGGAGGGTGCTCTATGTTGACGGGTGTAAACCAAGTGTACTGAGGTTTGGGTCAGGACATGTTCATGTGGGATAATTATCGAAGGTGTAGATTCCGGTATAGTGACCGTGTAAATGAGTATTTCATCATTGTCCCCATGAATATTTGTCTTGGATGATGAAAAAGGTGTATTTTCATGAAATGATGCATCAATGGAAAACAAATATCGACCTATACTTGGACAAAAACATCTATACCCCTTTTGAAATCGAGAATAACCCAAGAAAATACATTTTAATGATTTGGGGTCTAACTTTGTAAGATGAGGATTAATGTCTCTAACAAAGCAAGTGCAACCAAATGTTTTAGGTGGGATAGGAAAAAACTCTTTATTTGGAAATAAGCAGTGATAAGGAGCTTTACCGTTTAAAACAGAAGACGGCATACGATTTATTAAAAACGTGTGGTAGAGACGGCATCTGTCCAAAACTGTTTAGGCACATTCATTTGGAATAGAAGAGCCCTTGCAAATTCTAACAGATGTCGATTCTTTCTTTCAGCGACTCCATTTTGAGGAGGTGTGTCTACGCAGGAAGTTTGATGAATAATGCCATTTTGAAGCATAAAAGATTTAATGGAGCAGATAGATATTCTTGGGCATTGTCTCCCCTCAACACACGAACATGAACATTAAATTGAGTTTAAATTTCAGCACAAAACGCAAAAAAATGAGTAAATAACTCTGATCGGTGTTTCATAAAATATAACCATGTCATACGTGAATAATCAATCAACGAATGTAACAAAATATTTGAAACCAGACTTAGACACAACAGGACAAGCCCAACAAACATCAGAATGGACAAGATCAAAAGGAGCATTTGCTCGTTTATTAACTCGGGGACTTAAACTAGTGCGATGGTGTTTTGCAAATTGACATGACTCACACCGTAAAGATGACACCTTATTGAATTGGGGATATATTTGCTTCATTATTGGGGGAGAGATGGGTGTCCTAGTCGGTAATGAGCTTCTAACAAATTTCCAACCCCAACAGTTTGCTTTGTCAACAGATCCTGAAACACGCAATATCCAGGAAAAAATGTCACGGAACAATTAAGGGTACGCGTGATTTTACTGATGGAAAGAAGATTAAAAGCAAAATTAGGAAGAATCAAAAGAGGTGATAATGGTAATGTAGAAGTTGGAACAACAGTACCTAGAAGTAAACCCATCAGTTAAAGTGACACTAGAAGTAGGTAAATATGAATGAAATGATGAGAAAAGGTTAGGATTACCAGTCATTTGATATGTGGCACTTGAGTCAATGACCCATTTAAAGGATGAGGAAACAAGACATGTATTTGAAATACCTGAATTAGCAACTACCGAGACGGAGACAAATGAATGCTTTAGAGATTCTTGATAGCAAAGAAATTTGGCATACTTATCTGAAGAAATAGCGATTGATCCATCCGATGTATTGGCAGCGGAAGCAACATGAGCAAGCTGATTTCCTTGATTTCTGAACCACAATTTTCTACATTCTTTAATCAAGTGTGCGGTCTTCTTGCAGTAGTTGCATTTTACTTCTCTGCCAAACTGAGCGGTACAAGACTTTTTTTTCAGTTGGCAGCGAAATGAAAATTTGGGATATTAGGGTAAAAGTCTAAACTTACGAACTCCAGGCTGGAATATAAGCTACAATAGTTCTGAGCGTTGTAATAGCCAACAAAGCATAAACCCCAAATACCAGAGGCCAGCACGACATCTTTAGGCAGTTATCGTTCCGTCCTTGCTGGAGAAAGAACAAGAGAGATTTCCAAATTGGAAATAAAGTATACCTGAAAATACCAGGCACAAGTCGTAGATGACCCTCAGGCGACTCTGGAGATGATTACCAATCAAATTTCCGACCAGAAACACGGTCTCACGTGCGACAGCGACGAGTACTCCAGAGGCGCGTGTAACTCACGTGCGTCAATTCGGAGCTGTGGATTTTGAAAGCTTGGTCGCCGACAGCATTCGCACCATATTTGGAAGAGGGTTAGGTTAGATGGGTTGCTGGATACCCGGTTCTTCTGAGATGGGGGGTTCTGCAAAGGTTTCTGGGAAGAGTCGGAGTTTCTGGGAAGAGTCTGAGGTTCTGAGATGGGAGGTTCTTAAAGACAGTGGACTAGAGGTTCTGAAAAATCTGGACTGAACTCAGGTTCTTGGAGAAAGAACCCAGTCTCAAAACTAAACTGAGATATGAAAAAAAAACTAAACTGAAGTCTGAAAAGAAAACTAAACTGAAATGAAAGGCTCTCATACCATGTTGAAATATAGCATATAAGATAATAAATGATATTGGAAAGGAAAGGATTTTCTGTATGTTTGATTGAAGGATCAAGACCCTATATATAGATTACAAAGATGGAATCTTCCTATATAAGATGCTATACACTAATAATATCTAGAGTATATTCCTAAAGCATATTCTTATTATTATAATATCTTTCACAGGGCAAAATGTGGGTGACACTTGCTCTAACATCTCTTCATATACGCTAGAAATCCTCTATACTACTATCAATTCTTCACTTGTTTACTGGTTTACCACACATTTTGCTGGGCGATATGTTCAAATGCTTTCATGTTTCAACAGATTAAAAAGAGTGATAGACAAGTGAACCAAGAAAAATGGTATAGAGGATTTGAAATCTTTCAATATATATAAAAAAGGTGCATGTACTCTGTAGACTGGGAAGAAATCATGTGTGGGTATTCATGTACCTGCGGCTTCCTGTGCTTGCCAAGAATGAGTCCATTCAATACAACTAAAAAAGAATTTGGTGTATGAATCTCTTCCCCAGAAAGAAGTTCTAGGTCTTCAACCCCCAACCAATAGCACTGAGAAAAGGATTACAGAACAAGTTGGCCCAAACTTTAAGCAGAGTGAAAAGTCAGGAACAGAAATTTATTCATGATGCTGCAAAGCTAATATAGCAAAATAGAGCAAATTCTAATAATCGGCATGAACAGTTTAAGTAACTAGAATTATAAAAATCGTTCTCTAAGACTATTTTCATATTTCAAATGTGAATTTCTTGGAAATGAATTTATTTTGTGGCAAATGGAAAGGAGTTAGTAAAACAATCATAGCTGCAAATCTGATCAACCTGTATCAAAAGCCATCTATGGTACCTTATCATTTAGCATACTCATCTTAACAGTGGCCAATAAAGAACAAACACAGAGAGAGAGTAGATACAACCTAAATCATCAAGCATTATAGATTATCAGACAAAATGGAGGAAAATACCAGAGAAACAATTGGGCGCTCATCTTCATCTGTTGTAACATGAGTCATCAAAGCTAGATTTTTCACCAATCCACATGATTCACCTTCCGGGGTATCACAAGGACACAGCATGCCCCACTGTTAAAAAGAGGTATTCAATTATATTGAATAATTTAAACACAAGATAATTTACAGTATAATGCTTGGATAAAAGGTTTACTTGACTTGGTTGCAATGCTCTAGGCCCGCTAACTTTTCTGGACTTCTCAAATTGGGGTTGAATCTTGGTCATGAAGCCCAATGATACAATGTATGATAGCCGAGTTAGGACCTGTAACAAAATAATAAATTAACACTCACACCCCTTAACACATACACTTTTGCTAATTTCACCAACTCCAGACTATGTCAAGGCAAACATACATCGGAGAACCAAATGGTTAATTAACTGAGACACAGACTGGACATGAGAGTACCACCTGTGTCATGCCTTTTCGGTGCATCCTAAATCTCTTTACATCCCAATTTCCTGTGGATAAAGTTCTTTCAAGGGCTTGGGTAATGGAGTCCCTAATTAAATACTGCACAACAGCATATTTTGAAGAAACATCAGCGCTTGCATCTCTCAAATATCAGAGAAGATAAACAGCATACCATAGTCACATAGTTCGCGGAACGCTTCGGTACGGGAACGAGGATCAGGAACGCGGTTCGCTAGATCTAGCGTATCCGATTCGTAGGGGGGTAGGTTCATTCCGGTACACGTTCGGTACGCTGTACCACATGTTCGGTACGTTGTATCTTAAATTTTGGTACTATATAAAACTGAATTAAAGAATTCATAAGTCATAACATTAAACAATAACAGATTTCATAATAATAAATCATAACATAAAACAAATTAAAAAATATTAATATTCCAGAAATAAAAAAACAGTAATATTCCAGAAAGGAGTAAAGGCCCGGAGAGAATAAAGTAGGAAAAGAAGAGCCTGGCCCTGGCGTACGAAGTAATTTATTTTCCCTCAAATTATAACACTTACAAGTTACAAGTTACAAGGTAACTTGATGAGTAGGGTCAGATATCGAAGAGCCTGGTTCAAAATCTGTACGCGACAGGAAACGAAGCAAAGGGCCAACCTGTCTCAAATTTGGGAAACGACGCTTCATTCTGGTCAACGATGGGAAACGACGCTTCCACCTGGGCAGCGACGGGAAACGGCGATGCAAATCGATTCACGCAGGGTTTGGGAGTGATTCTAAGAGCGATTGCGAGCGTTTGCGAAGAGCGAATGGGACGACTCTTGGACCGTACCGATTAGCGTTCCCATCCGCGACCGGATCGATTTCGTACCGCGTTTGGGTACGGAACGATCGGTACGCAGATCGTGCCTTCCCCAGCGATTTATGTATCTATGCAGCATACCATATTTTACATTGAGACATAAAATATATGTCAAAACCTGACTTTCATTTTGAAACTATTGATTTTACAAACTATTTTGAGAAAAAGAATAGGAGAATAAAAACAGCAAATCCCTACAAGATTGTGTTTCGGTGGCAGTACAAACACAAAGAGACCATTCAATGTCCTTTTCCTTCAGTATATAAATAGACAGGTAATAAAAAAAGAACTGGCATTCAAGAAATCAAAAGGGTGTAGCACCAAAATTTGAAACAATATACTGCATTTTGCTAAGCCACTAAAAACTGCAGTTTAATTCCAAATTACATACTTGAGAAATATCGAGTTTGCTAGACCGGGAAGACTTTGCCAAGACCGAATCAACCTGTTTTATGACCTCATCATTAAAGGTCTTAAACAAATCCTGCAAGAAGAAGTTTAATAGAATATAAGACATCTTGTATTCATTTATACATGCAGTTTCATAGAAAAAAGCATGCCTAGAGTACCTCAAACAGAAGGGACAATAGCTGCCCTGAGAGCTCTAGCCGTTTGTTCCCCACATAGTCCTGCAAAATAAAAAAATTTAGACACAGTAGATATAACTGTAAGGCAAAGAGTAATTTGCAGTAAGTTGAAAGGCTACAGTTCCATTTAGGAAGGGAGATATGATTTCCAGGAGCAATATTCTGGATTCTCATGTGCTTGACTGACATAGAAAAATGTGGAAAAAAATGAGTTCTTAAGTCAGAGAGAAACTAGCCTAACGCGTTAGGAAAATGCAGATGTTTAGCCAATAGTGACGGGCATCATAAACCAACATTACCAACAATCACTGCCTCTACTAACCCACCACTGTCAAGTATCAACACCACATGATCATCACCTCTGTTATCAAAGTCTATGTGTGATAGGGAGCAAGGGGAGCAAAGGAAGAATAATAATAGTGTTACCTATTTTAACAAAGTGTACACTAGAAGGAGGAGGGGAACTAGTACATAGCTGCTGACTGTGTAATAAGGGGTTGGTATGAACATTAGTATAATAAAGGGCTGTGTATGTGAGTGGAGACAGGTTGGAACTATCCAGTTAGTTGGGATTGGGAGTCGGAACTTTCAAACAACCTGGGAACTGTATTTTCTCTTTCTGTTAAACAACAAACTACCTCTATTGATTTTCTTCGCCATTTTTGCCTTCTGTGAGCTCGGAATTACTGTAGCAATTAGCTCGTACTTATCAATGTGCTGGTGTTAACAATTACCTCTGCCCAACAGCCACATCTACAGCCACTGTGGGCAATGCCACTATCACTCATCTTTCATTTAAAATATGTCAACTAATTTCAAAATTGCATGTCATAATTTGCACATGAGAACTTTCTTTACTTGAGCTTACACATATAGCCCCATTCTTACTGTTTTTAGTTATATATAGAATATTTAGATATTAAAGTGTAGTGTGTCGTCCTCCAAGATAACATCTGGATACGCCATTACCCCTACCCTACCCTTTGTCACCAACCCACCATTGGAGAGTCTCCTAGACACCGCCTCACTTGACCACTTAAAGATGATATTTGTGTACAATTACAAAAAACTTAATTGCTATACAATGAACTACACAGTAAAAATATTTAAATGTAATGAGTTTTAAAAATGCTCATGTATACATATACACTCAGTCAGCACACCACCATCAAGTCCTTCGAGCTGGCTGCATGAACTCTGCATCTCTGCCCATTATGAATGAAAAATACCCAAAACTGTTGTGCTAACATATCTTCACTAAGAAAAAGATCAACACATGTAAGATTAGATCTAACGCACTCCTCTCCTACAACAATCATGTCAATGCCATCCCTATCATATGCAAATCAACAAATGTGCAAAGGAAACCATATAGGGAATATGGTTATTTGTATATTTTATTGTGGGTAAAGCGGTAAGCAATGTTTAATTCATAGACAAGAAAACATAAATAAAGTCAACAAAAGATCAATTTGCAATGCAATTCAAGAAAACCACAACTTCATCTCAATAAATGAAACACACACACAAATATCATTCCAAAACTAAATAGGGTTCGATCAATGATCTAAAAATCCCCCAGGTGCTGCCTAGTTGTTGGGCGCTATCCCACTGTGGCGCAAAAATACAAACTAGGGCTTGATAATCTGACTGCAGACTAATCAGGCGCCCAGACTGCCTAGCCGTCTGTAAGCCTTCTTCTCTTTTACTTTTCAAGTGCCGCCCTTCATTTCAAGAGAGTCAAGACCGTCAGGGACATCTATGTTGCACGAAAACGTGGGAACCGTGGGGAAACGGGAAACAGGAAACATTATTTTTTTAGAAAAAAAACTGTTTCGAGAGTTTCCGAAGAGTTTCCGTCGAGTTTCCAAAACGGAAATGTACTCCTTTGATAGAGAGCAAGGAGAGCAGGGGGCGGGGGCGGGCTTGAGCCCACTTTCGTGGGCTGGCTGCGGGCCTTTTAATTAATTTTAATTATTCCTTTTATTTTGTTTCCTAATTCACTTTGTTTCCTAGTATGATTTAATTAGGACTTCTATTCTTATTAGAATTAGAGGTTCCCTATTTCTATTTAGTTTCCTAGAATGGTTTTATTAGGACTTCTATTCTTATTAGAATTAGAGGTTTCCTATTCTATTTAGTTTCCTAGTATGGTTTAATTAGAATTCCTATTCTTATTAAGACTTAGAGGGTTATTTAAACCCCTAATTCCTAAGGAGGACTGTTGGAATCATCAATTAATAACATTGGAGTTTTAGCTTTAAGTTTGGGCAACGGTTGCTAGCTGTTGATTAATTTATTTTCTGCTCTCATCAATTGGTCCGACCTGCCGGATCCCATCCCGCCAGAATGACGAGATCTCAGAACGATCGTTTGGCAAAGATGGAGGCTGAGCAAGCTCGAATGGTGGCTAAGCAAGCCCGAATGGGGATTGAGCAAAACCAGATGAATCACACCCTGGAAGAACACGGCATGCGGCTGGCTGAAATCGTTGCATCCCTAGCGGCGCTACCCAAGGCCCTTCTGCCTCCGGTCACGACGAAGACATCATCGGACGCGGTAGGCAGTATCGCCGTCACAGCACACAGCAGCGAGGGAATTCCACGCAGCACCCCTCAACCTTGCTGCCCACGTTCGACGGTGAAGACCCTATCAGCTGGATAGCTCGGGCTGAACAACAGTTTGAATTAAATGGAGTCCTACCAGAGAAAAAAGTGGCAGCCATTGTGGTTGCCATGGAGGGGGGTCCTCTATTGGGTAACCTGGCTGAGAACGTGCAAACCCAGCATGACCTGGGGAGAATTCAAACAAGCTTTGGTGGCCAGATTCGACTCCCGATTTAAAGGGAACATATTTCAGCTGTCCGGCGTCAAACAGATCAGATCAGTGGAGGACTACAATACCCTGTTTGTTCAGTAGGCCAGCCAAGTTCCGGAATTGTCTGATGAACATTATTTGGGATACTACATGAATGACTGAAAGAAATCAAGAATCAATCGGATGCTCGCTGCGCTTATTTCGACCAAATAACTTGGAAGAGGCCATGGAATTAGCTCACGATGTGGAGTACAATCTGTCGGTTCGAGTCGAGGAAGAGGCAGTCCAAATTATAATCCTACAAGGTCACGTTCCAGCAGCTTTTCACTGCCAAACACGGGTCCTCCGTTGACTGCTAGTGGTGGCTAGGGCTGGATTCAGTTCGGTTCCCGAACCGAAATGGGAAATATCCGAACCGAACCGATCTTTCGGTTTCTTATATTTCATAAACCGAAACCGAACCGATCTTTCGGTTTCTTATATTTCATAAACCGAAACCAAACCAAACTTTGTTGGGATCCAATTTTCCGGAAACCGAATTTTCGGTCCGGTTTTTCGGTTTTTGTGAAAAAATCGAATGGATATTCAATATTTGTATATACAATAGCTAATATTCACCCTCAGGCTTTACTAGCAACTTAATCCTTTGAATCTACGAAGGGGCAATTATATAGGCTCATACGAGGAGTAAATCCTCTATTCCATCCGGTGTGGGAAGAGTTATATACGGAAGAAAAACTAAATGGAAGAGTTGGGGCGCAAGGAAAGCAAAAATCAAGGGATCCAGTCGTTTGGGGGGTTCGAACCTGGGTGATACGGATGGGGCGCGTCACTGGTTACCGCTGAACTACTTCGGATAGTTGCTACATACGGACGCTAAATGTATAAAATACATTAAAGTGATACAAATTAAATAAAATAATTAAAAAGTACTCCCTCCGGTCCTAAATAAATCTCACACTTTGACTTCACACAAATTAAGGAAATAAATTTGACTTTACTATAGAGTACAGTGTTGTGACACTGTTTGACACTGTTTGGCACTGTTTTGCACTGTTTTGATGTAGATAATTTGCCAAATAAGGAAGGGAGAAGAAGTGTGAAGTTTATTTTGGACCTACCCAAAAAGGAAAGTGTGAAGCTTATTTAGGACCGGAGGGAGTATTATTTAATAAAAAAATCGGTTCGGTTCGGTTTGAACCGATTTTCAATCTCAAAGAACCAGTTCCAAACCGATTTTTATTCGGGTCCCAACTTTCGGGTCCCATTAAAGTCGGTTCGGTTTCGGATCGGTCTTTTTATCGCTCGGTTTGGTTTTTTTGTTCGGTTTTCGGTTGAAAATGCCAGCCCTAATGGTGGCAGCATACAGGGATCGAATGGCAGCTTTTCGAAAGATAGTGGGCAGCCCCCGGGGACAAATTCAGGGCTGTCTGGGCAATCTACGACACGCTCTCAGTTCACTCAACTTCCGCCGAAAAAGTTAGCAAAATTGCAGGCGAAAGGATTATGCTTTAGGTGTAAGAAACCATTTACACTAGGGCATAACTGCCCCTTTAAACAATAACGGGTAATGATAGCTGAGGAGGATGAGGAGTTGGACCTCCAACAACATGATTATTGTGAAAAAACCGGTCAGGAAAAGGTTCTGAAAGGCCAAGGGGGTCCAGAAAGAGATGAGGGATATTTCCCAGTCTATTCTATGGCTGGAATGTTCATCCCTCGAACTACGAGATTTCAACCTTGAGGACAAGGTTATTTTGAAGGAGAATGGATTGATAGAGAGCAAGGAAAGCAGGGGACGGGGACGGGCTTGAGTCCACCTTTGGGGGCTGGATGCGGGCCATTTAATTAATTTTAATTATTCCTTTTATTTTGTTTCCTAATTTATTTTGTTTCCTAGTATGATTTAATTAGGACTTGTTAGAGGTTTCCTATTTCTATTTAGTTTCCTAGAATTGTTTAATTAGGACTTCTATTCTTATTAAAATTAGAGGTTTCCTATTCTATTTAGTTCCCTAGTATGGTTTAATTAGGATTCACATTCTTATTAAGACTGAGAGGGTTATTTAAACCCCTAAGGAGGACTGTTGGAATCATCAATTAATAGTATTGGATTTTTAGCTTTAAGCTTGGGCAACGGTTGCTAACCGTTGATTATTTATTTTCTGCTTTCATCATCCTTCCCGAGAGTTTCCGTGCTATATAGACGGACATCGCTTCTTTTTCAAGTTCCCGGCGTGGTTACCCTTCATTTTAGAACCTCTCACAGTAGCAGGCCTCAAGTAATATATTCTTATCACTTTTCTGTTATTTTTTAAATATTGAAATTTTAGATGTGAGTTTTATATATTCATTAAATGTTGTTTCTGTATGTGTTAGTAATTGATATTAAGCATTTAAGCTTATGTAAAGATTGTTCATCATCATCATTATCATTACCCCAGTGCCGCAAAGGCTCCCACCTACGGTGGGGTAAGGGGGGTCGGATGTACGCAGTCTTACACCTGTACTAAAGCACAGAGAGACTGTTTCTGAATGACTTATGTAAAGATTGTTGTGGAAACAAAAAGTCTCTATAGAATGATAATTATTTCAATAATATTGTGCAAGTTAAAAATTTGAAAAAAGTCCTCAAAGGACTATTGAAGTTAAGTGTGCTCACTGCTTATGTGGTTTTTCCCTTGGCCGGTTCCTTCAAGTTCTAAGTAATGTTTTTACTTTTTGGGTGAAGAATATTTACTTTTTGTTTGGTCATGAAAAATGTATTGTGCAGTTGCACTTTCTTAACCATGAAGATTGCTTTTAACTATGATTCATGGGTGTATGAATACATAATATTCTGCACACCATATTCCTAGTTTCCTACAAGGAAAAAGCTTTCCAATATACATAAATGATACCCTCCGTCCCATTTTATAAGAGACACTTTCCTTTTTGGGTTGTCCCAAAAATATGACCACTTTCCTAAATAGGACTCCACTAACTTTTTATATTTCCACTTTATCCCTTTATCTACCATTTCACCATTTACTTTTTGTGGAGCCATCTCTCTCTTTCTTACTTTTTGGAGATTAAATTTGTAAAACAACCACTTCATCCTTTATTTTCTTAAAACTCGCACCAAACCGATATGTATCTTACATTATGGGACAGAGGTAGTACTTATTTTCTCAGTTCTGTTAGCCACTTAGCATAATTTCAAGAAAATAAAATATGACTATATCTAATTGGTGCCTAGTCACTAGGCGCTGCTTTGCCGCCCGGCTAATGCCTATCGAGTTCTAGAACATTGGTTTTGAGAGCCACAAAGCAACAGCTATTTTTGTTTCACTTCCAATATCCAAAAAATACATCACCAAACATTCGTCTTCAACATTCTAACATTTTCCACATTCAGCAAGTGAACCGTATGAAGTGAAAATACCTTGTCATCCATTGTATCTTTGTTTAGGATTGCATCCATTATGCGTCTCAACATCACCGCAACATAAATGCATTTTTTGCGGAAATTATTGTCATGCACCTATACATGGAGAGAAGGTAGGTGCAATAGATATTCATAAAATATAATATATTATCAGAATCATCAATAAGAAAAAACTCTTACCGGGATGTTTGCAAGAAATGTTTTTTTAAGAATTTCCAATGCACGCCCTCCTCCCTACATGTAAAACAAGTGTATTTAGAATTCATTCATGAACCTAAGTAGATTGGAATTGCGAAACAGGTAACGCGAGAAACTGGATTTCTAAAATACTCCCTCCGTCCCTAAATAAAAGCATCTGTTTCCTTTTCGGACCGTCCCTAAATAAAAGTTCCCTTTCCTTTTTTGGCAAACAAAACAGTGCAAAACAGTGTCAAACAGTGTCCAAACGGTGTCAAACAGTACCAACCAAACCCACTTTCTTAAAATGTGTGGAAAACGAATGGATACTTTTATATAGGGACGGAGGGAGTACGTAGGATATAGGATACAAAAGAAGGGGGGAAACACATGAATATTGAAAAATATAAAGACAGATTTATTATTTCTTTTTCATATATGTATACATATCATTATCATTGATATATATATATATATATATATGTGCACATATTGTTCATATAACTTTACTCGATAACCAATAATAAGTGCATCCCATGTTCAAATTTAGATATAATTACACATTACACACTAGTATACAATTAAACATAAGATGCAATACATTTCTAGCAATGCATCGTGTTACGAAATATCACAATGTTGCTAGGAAGGAATCCCATCACATATCACTAAAAAGATTTTAAGAACTATTTTCTCTCGAGGAATCCATCAAGGGGGGAATTTTAGAAACCCAAAGTTTCCGAAAAGCTAATTATTTAGGAAAACGGGTTTCCCAATTCTTACTTATGGAAACAGCCCCGAAACAAGAAATTGAAGTTTCTGACACTTCTGAGTTTCTGAAATGGGGAAACGTGAGTTACGGGGAGTTTTTGTGCTTCATAGTCTAATTTAACGAGTCAGACAAATTCAAAATGTTCTTTCAATTTCCATTTACAGACACCTTTTTCTACCATTGTAAAAAAGGTTAGAATGTTGCATACATGAATATCTCAAATTCTCAATTTATGGTTTACAACTAGATATGACCTAGGTCATATATGTACCAACATTAACTTAAACACTATGTCAAAAAATCAGTACAGCAACAATTATAAATTTATAATTATCTCATAGAAAAACATGTATATTCTACCAGTAAAAGAATTAAACTACATATCATGAAAAGAAACAAGAGTTCAATAAAGCATTGTTTTCATTTTTCATTTTCATTTACCCCAGTGCCGCAAAGGCTCCCACCTACGGTGGGGTAAGGGGGGGTCGGATGTACGCAGTCTTACCCCTGTACTAAAGCACAGAGAGACTGTTTCCGGATGACCCATAGTGAAAATCTCGTCCAAAATTGCATGGACTGACTGCTGCTTCATGACAAAGAAGCGCAAACAGTTTAGTGAGCCATGAACCAAACAATAAAGCATTGTTTAGCATATTAAAATTAAATTCTTTAAGTGCACCAAGGATAATGAACCAAACCTTGTCAAATGAACCAGTTGAGTATCCAAAAGGTTTAAGCTGCAAAAGAAACAAGCTAACATAAATAAATACATATTAAGATAAGAGCATAAAGCCTCCATGTGAAACGGTAAACATACATTTTCAGTTATCATTTCAATTAAAAGAGTTCAAGTGTTATAAGTTCAGAGCACGTGATTGTGATCTGTTGAGAGAGTTCTTACATATCATATTATGACAAATAAGATCTTAAAGTCTTGACCCAGCATCCCTTGAACTCGGATAAACTAGGATCTTATGGATTTCAATCAAGTACATTGAGGTGAAGTAGCAGTTCAAACCAATGATAAATCTATGGGAGAGCAAACAGCCTAGACATTCTTTGATAGAACACTGGTATAATTCAACTAAGAACAGTAGAAAATCATGAAGAATTGATCAAGAAGATGATCAAGAAAGCTTTATTGAGATGGATAGGTATGTACAGAAGGAATTCAATCCTCAAGGACCATTCGAGATGCCCAGTCTCCTAGCCAAAATCAACTGAATACTTGCCTACCGCTTATTCCTCCCCTCCCCTTCTATTTATACTACCTGTACAATTATTACTATTTCTATTATTAGCCTAATAGGGCCGATTCCTATCAATACTCTCCCCACCTAAACAACCATCCTCAAGGTGAGTGATAGGAATCAGCCATGATCTTCCACTTCCACTTCAGTCTTACACCTCTCTCTTCCCAATACCTCCCAGATTGATTGGCCATGACCTTCATTACTTGACCTTTCATCTTCACTTCTTTCACCCTTGAAATTTCACTCCATTCCAATAATTCCTGCATCTTACTTCGGAGAACTATCCTGGTATTAGGATCAAAAGAAGCTTCACGAACAGCTTTGATGTCATCCATTGGCAAAGGCTTCAACAATAGTGTCAGAAGATCTAGTGAACCAGTTACTAAATCTTTAAGTTGTGGTTGTGGTTTAGTAAACATTTGCCTAACATAAGGTAAAATGCGAGCAACCAAAGGCTGAATGCTACCAGGAGCTGTTTTCATTGCCTCTAAAACTTTTAGAACATCAATACTAGCAAAATGGTCTGTGACAGGTGAAGCCCACACATTAAGAATGCTAGGAGAAAGAATAGACCCCCCTGATGGTAATAGTTCCAGACCTGCCCTGTCAGCAGCCTTCAGTGTGACAAACACCAAATGCATAACCATTTTATTTGGCCTCCTATTTTTGGAAGGTGACTCTCCAGAGTACTTGGAGCTAATAGTTACCAAAAGAGGGTTCATGTTAGAACCAAATTTATTTTCGATAGATAATGGTGCCATTGTAGTTCCAAATCTGTCAGTCCAGGTTGGGATAGCCACACTCTCTTGTTTCTGAAACATTCGTGATGGGCTCAATACTACAGCAGCTCTCTGTGCGTCTTGTGAGGCTTGCTCTTCTATTTTTAGTCTCTCTTCATTGTGAGTATTCATATTGACATCATGATCCAATACACTATGAATCCCGTTTGCATCAGAAAGACTCGGCAATATATTATTTTCTTCCTCTACTTCATCCTTGATGTTACCAGTTTTCTCCTTCTCTTTGTCATTGCTTCCTAAGCCACTTTCTTTGCCAAAAATCGTGTTCTGATATGCTGGCTTTGCTCAAGTGTATGTAATCACTTTCTGATCAGGGTGTTGGGACCCAGTAGTATTTATATCCTCGTTTAACTGACTGCAGATACAACATGTTTCTGTAGAGCCACTCTCCCCCTCGCCCCCTCCTCTCTTTTCTTGAGTATGTTGATCCAATTACCAGTAATAGCCATATTAGGGTACTTTTCTGGTGTCGTTTGTACATATCTGCCAGCATTAAGAATCGGTGTGCTGTTTCCAAAGACTGTAGTAGAACGATAGAACACTGGTAGAAATCTAAGTAAAACAGTAGCAATTCTATAGAAATCAACTAAGAACAGCTCGCAGTGAGTTTATTGAGTAGAGAGGAAGTCAAAGCAAGTATACAAGCTAGGGACAATTCGAGATGCCCAGTCTCCGAGTCTCAAGCCAACAGAAATAACAACCTGCCTTATTTAGCTATCACCCTTCTATTTATAGCTATTATCCACGCAGGGATAAACTTAAACTAACTAACTAGTTAGTTAACTAATAACAGACTTCTTATTTCTCCTATTGTAGACTATTAAAATATTGAATAGGCTGCTGCACCATATGCCTATCAGTACTCTACTCCCCCCCTGAAAATTCACCTTGTCCTCAAGGTGAAGGTCTGGGAACTGTTCTGTCAATGACTGCAATGATTCCCAAGAATCCTCAAACTTTGGTAAATCCTTCCAGTGTACCAGCACTTCCATCTTCCCTTCTTTGTTCACTCTTGAGTCCAGCACTTCTTCAGGTATCACCAGTGTCTCCCATTCTTCACTGAGACATTTGGGTAGGGGCTGGAAATCAGTTGTAGGTGATATGGCCTTCTTCAGTAGTGAAATATGAAACACTGGGTGTACTTTGCTATCTTCTGGCAACTTGAGCTTAAAAGCTACAGAGCTTATTTTTTCAATCACTTCAAAGGGGCCATAGTATCTGGGGCTTAGTTTCTGATTTAGTCTCTTAGCTAAACTTTTTAGCTTGTAGGGTTGAATCTTCAGATAGACCTTGTCTCCAACTTCCAGCAGAACTGCTCTCCTATGCTTGTTTGCTTGCTGTTTCATCTGGTTTTGAGCCCTTTCCAGATTATCTTTCAGTTCCTTAATCATCATATTTCTTTGAGCAGTCAGTTTAGATACTTCTTCCACAGCTGTAAGATTAGCATCCCCTCTAATCACAGTAGGTGGATCCTGACCATATAGAGCTTTGTAGGGGGTCATTTTCAGTGATGTGTGGTAATTGGTATTATACCAAAACTCAGCCCAAGCCAACCATTTAACCCATTGTTTGGGTTTTCTCCCTGTAAGACATCTCAAATAGGTTTCTAAGCACCTGTTGACTATCAGTCTGAGGTAGAGCCGTCAAAATGGGCTGAAACCCGCGGGCTGGCCCATTTAAACCCATTTATTAGTGGGTTAGGGTTGAGAATTTCTGACCCATTTAGCTCGCGGGTTTCGCGGGTCAACCCACGCGGGTTGTGGGTTTAAGTGGGTTGGCCCACCGGGTTGCGGGTTGGCCCGCGGGCCAAAATACAAAAATATAGTTTTGAATTTTATTATCTTAAATATTGTCCTTTTACTACCAATATTATTATAATTACAAATAAAAAATTACAACCATGGCAAAACAATATATATTTCTATAATAAATATTCAAATAAAAAGTTGAAACTAATATTTTATGTGAAGTGCGATAAAATATTTACAATGAGTATTTTTGTCGCATACCCTCTTATAGTTTTCAAATTCTCGTATAACTAGTACTATTATTTAATATTTTTTAATTTTAATTAAACAAAACAAGTATTGAATTTTTAGTATTTTGATTTCTTATATTTCCTTTGTTACTACTTACTAATATAAATATATACTTCCGGGTAATTATTTTTAATTTTTTTTGTTATATTTTTTAAAAATTATTGGCCCGCGGGCCAGCCCATCATTAAACGGGTTGGCCCGACCCATCCCACATAGAGCATAACCCGTTACGGGTCGGGTCGGGTTGGCCCGTTTGACAGCTCTAGTCTGAGGATGGTAAGCAGTGTTGTATTTGAGTTGAGTTCCAGCCATCTTAAAAAGTTCAGACCAAAAAGTACTCAGAAAGATACTATCTCCGTCACTAACAATAGTTTTAGGGAAACCATGCAATTTTTCCACTTCACTTATGAATAATTCAGCTACTTCTTTGGCATTAAATGGGTGAGACAAAGCCAGAAAGTGAGCTGACTTGGTCAATCCATCCACAATGACCATGATAGTATCCTTTCCTTGTGATTTAGGCAAACCCCCAACAAAATCCATGATAATGTCAGTCCATATATTTTGAGGAATAGGTAATGGCTGTAGTAATCCGGCTGGCTTTAGAGCTTGGTATTTGTTTGTTTGGCAGGTAGTACACTCATCAACATACTTCTTTATATCCCTTCTCACACCATGCCAATAAAACAAGTTAGAAATTCTTTTCATGGTCCTGAAATAACCTGAATGACCCCCCATTGCAGAATCATGATACTCATTCAATATTTTGATAAGTCTAGGGGATGTTCTTGGTAATACTAGTCTCCCCTTGTAGTATAGTAACCCCTTAGTAATCTCAAATTCCGGATATTGGTCTGGCTGTGAAATGATATTCTGAAGTAATGCCTGACATTTAGGATCTGCAATTAACTCTTCTTCCAACCCTTCCCATTCTTGGCAAGTGACAATGGATAAGGAGTTTAAGAATGGTCTTCTGGATAAGGAATCTGCAGCTCTATTTTCCACCCCTGGTTTGTACTTTATGGTAAAATTATATCCCAGTAACTTGGAAGTCCATTTTTGTTGTTCGTTCCCCATCAATCTTTGCTCAGTCAAAAATCTCAAGCTCTTTTGATCAGTGTGAACCTCAAAAGTTCTTCCCAGTAAATATGGTCTCCATTTTTGGACTGCTAATACAATAGCCATTAATTCCCTCTCATAAACTGACCTGTTCTAATTCCTCTTAGATAGCTCATTGCTCATATAAGCAATGGGCCTCCCCTCCTGCATCAAAACAGCTCCCAAACCTGTCCCACAAGCATCAGTCTCTACTATGAACACCTTATTGAAATCTGGGGCTGCAAGAACTGGTAAAGTGGTCATTCTTCTCTTCAATTACTCAAAAGCACTGGTAGCAGCTGGTCCCCATTGAAAATTGTCCTTCTTTAGAAGCTGTGTCAGGAGTAAAGCAATCTTGTTATACCCTTTTACAAATCTTCTGTAATACCCAGTTAGTCCTAGAAATCCTCTCAGACCTTTCAAATCCTTGGGCTCTGGCCACAGAACCATGGCCTCTATCTTGGTAGGATCTGCAGATATGTTCTTTTGGGCTCTGCCCAAAAGAACATTTTTTTGAATTTATAACCAACTGATTCTCTTTCAAAGCATATAGAACCTTCCTCAAATGCTCCTGATGTTCTTCCTTTGACTTGCTATATATAAGAATGTCATCAAAGAAAACCAAAGCAAACTTCCTTAGAAACGGCCTCAGAACTTGATTCATAAGAGCCTGAAAAGTGGAAGGTGCATTGGTCAGACTAAAGGGCATTACAAAATATTCATAATGCCCTTCAGGACTCCTGAAGGCTGTTTTCTGCCTATCTTCCTCCTTCATTCTGATCTGGTGATAACCAAATTTCAGATCCAGCTTAGAGAAAATCATAACCCCACCTAGTTCATCCAGTAGTTCCTCAATTATTGGTATTGGAAATTATGTCAGGTACAGTATCTTGTTTAGAGCCCTATAATCTCCACAAAACCTCCATCCCCCATCTTTCTTCTTTGCTAGTAATATAGGGCTATTGTAAGGACTATTACTATGTTGAATTATGCCTTCACTTAGCATCTCCTTATATTTGGGATACAGGCTCCTTACTGGATGTGGATTGCATGGTCACAGGCCCTACTTGGTGGCAACTGCTTCAGGGGTTGAGAGACTTCTTGAAATTCTGCCAGAACTTGTTTCCAGGCTTCATCCTCTTCTCCCTCATCTTTCAATTCCAAAGAATGCCCTTCACAATAAACAAAATATCCATCCCCTGCATCATGTAAAATCTGAGTCATGATTTTCAAAGAAACCTCAAGGGAATTAAGATGTGGATCCCCTTGAATCATATGAAGCATCCCTTGTTCTCTCCACTTGATAATCTGTTATTGGATAATTGACCTCTACATCTCCTAGACTGGTCAACCATTCCATCCCAAGTACCAAATCAGTGCCACCCAATTCCATGATGTAAAAATCCTGCTGGATTACTGCCTCATGTAAGCATAGAGTCAATCCCTCACATCTCCCATTGTTAGCCCGTTTATCCCTATTTCCAATCTGAACTTTATACCCTGTAATAGTGTTATAGGGTATTTTCAGTTGGTCTACCATCCTTTGGGATATAAAATTATGGGTAGCCCCACTATTTTATATCCTTTGGGATATATCCCTACTTCTTCTCCCAATTTCCATTTTAAACAACCTTTCACCTTGAAAGCTCTCATGGAAGGTATTCCCTCCTTACTCATGAGTGAGAGTTGAAAGGGCTTCTTCTAATTCTTCATCCCCCTCTGAGTCTTCTACAAGTATCAGCATATAATTTTTCAGTTTGCAAGTATGTTCTCTATTCCATTTCTCACCACACTTGAAACAAAGCCCCTTCCTGCTTCTATCTTGATACTCTTCTTGTGATAGCTGTGGTCCCACCCTTCTGATTCCAGAAGGATTTATTTCTGTCACCTTCTTCCCCACAAGATTAAACCAAGATTGGTTACTCTTGTTCTGATTGCTAACCCCTGAATTGCCAGATCTTGCCCTATAAATAGATGGCCTCATTTCTTCTCTCAATCAGTAAAGCCCTGTCCATAATTTCAGATAATGATCTGGAATTATACAGTTTCAACTCAGCTTTGGTTTCTTCTTTCAATCCTGTGATAAATACTCCTCTCAGGATATCTCTATCCACAGTTCTTTGATGTGCTATTATCATCTCAAATTCATCCCTGTATTCCCTTAATGTACCTGTTTGTCTCAAACTCAACATAGGTCCATAGGGATTTTGCATAAGATCAGGTTGGAATCTACGAATAACCGACTCCTTAAGAGTCTCCTAGTTCTTCTCCTCAGTCTGATGTTCCCACCATTGGAACCAGTTGAGAGCTCTATCCACCATAGCTACTACAGACACCTCAACTTTATCCTCCTCAGTAATTTGATTCAATCTAAAATACATCTCCATCCTTACTAGCCAATTATAAGCTCCATCCCCATTAAACGAAGGTAGATCAACCTTACGACCGGTATGAACTGGAAATCTATTATGATCCTCATGTCGTCTGTGATTAATAGGAATCGAGTGTTCAGAAATACCTCTTGAAGCTGCTGGATTGTTTGAAGGTCGTGTATGATGACGATGATGAGATCGCGATCTTCCACTCGCTCGAAACTCATCGCTCATCGCATCCAACCTTCCCGCCATGTTTTCCATCATCGTTCTCATGTGCATCAGTGTTTCTTCCGTCGCGATCCTATTACGCTCCATTTCTTCCATTCGCTGCTCCATTTTTGCTCTCGTTCGAGCCATTCAAAATCAGAACGAAAACAATATTCTGGTGATACTACAACAATTCCGATCACCAGAACAATTGCTCTGATACCAATGATAGAACACTGGTAGAAATCTAAGTAAAACAGTAGCAATTCTATAGAAATCAACTAAGAACAGATCGCAATGAGTTTATTGAATAGAGAGGAAGTCAAAGCAACTATACAAGCTAGGGACAATTCGAGATGCTCAGTCTCCAAGTCTCAAGCCAGCAGAAATAACAGCCTGCCTTATTTAGCTATCACCCTTCTATTTATAGCTATTATCCACGCAGGGATAAACTGAAACTAACTAACTAGCTAGTTACCTAATAACATACTTCTTATTTCTCCTATTGTAGACTTTATTAAAATATTGAATAGGCTGCTGCCCATATGCCTATCATTCACCACTAATAACATCCAGTATGGTGAGTGTAACATCAGATTCAATCAAAGATTTCTCAGAAGGTATTTGTAATGATGCCTTCCACTCATCCAGTTCGGTTGAAACATTTGATTCACAGTTGTCTTGAAGGACTTCGGTGGGAACAATGAAGTTTGCGCATTCTGAAAAATGATTTGCGACCCAACCTGCGAACTCCAAGAATCAGGTAGCGACTCCGAAGACGATTGCGGAGAAACGGCTTGCTGAGAAGATTGCAAACTGGAAGAAGATGTCGGTGAGGAAACCTGCGAACCGGTAGAAGTTGTTTGCGATGGCGATGACATCTGTGAACAAATGAGGGAGTCGACTTGCGGTGACGAACTGTAAGGAGAAACAGTAGTTCACGTCGAAGATTGCGAACTGAGAGAAATTCTTGGCGATCACGTATACTGGTTCTATGTCTTTTGCCTGCGTGTAGGCGGGAAACGCCAAGTTATGGCTTCCTTCAAAGCCTCCCGATTCTTTTCTCTCGTTTGAGTTTTCCTACTACTACCTCGACTTTATCTCTTTCGGCAGTAGCCTTGAGACAGAAATACTCTTCCATCCTAACAATCCAACTGTCTGCATCATCCCCGTTAAACAACGGTAAATCAACCTTTATTCCTGTACGAACAGGTCTTCTAATGTTATCGCGATCCACACTAGAACGAGAATGATCAGAATTTCTCGCGTCTCCGAGATGCGAAGTGCGATGCGAGCTGCGTGGAGTGAGTCATTGATTCCGCGATCGATTTTGGTTGTTGTTCATCTTCGCGAGTGTCTCCTGTATTGTCGCCAAGGTCATCCTAATTTTCTCCATCGATTTCTTCATTCTTGCTCTCTTCCAGACCATTGACTCTTTTTCGACTCCAAGAAACTAATGCTCTGATACCAATGATAGAACACTGGTATAATTCAACTCAGAACAGTAGAAAATCAGAAAGAATTGATCAAGAAAGCTTTATTGAGATGGATAGGTATGTACAGAAGCAACACAATGCTCAAGGACCATTCAAGATGCCCAGTCTCCTAGCCAAAATCAACTGAATACTTGCCTACCTCTTATTCCTCCCCTCCCCTTCTATTTATTCTATTTATACTACCTGTACAATTATTACTATTTCTATTATTAGCCTAATAGGCCCAATTCCTATCATTCTTTCAAATATTTTCAGGGTAACAACCTAGACATTCTTTCAAATATTTCAAGGGTAAAAGTGAAACAATCAGATGAGCAAGGGGAAAGAAACCTAGTAAGAAGAAACTTCTTAATACATAAGGATGCAGTAGCTTTTCTTCTTTTATATTTAGGGAGGAGAAAACCAGGCAAAGTAGACAAAAGCTAACTAGCACATTTCCGTATAACTTTTCTATTACAACAACCAAACATGGTGAGTGTACGCAATTAAGGGTGAGGAAGTTAAAGAAAAGGAACCATACAATCTTATCAGCATCAAGGAACTGCAATGCTTGTTGTTGACAATACACATTATTGGCAGCACATTCCTGAAATCACAAAACACAGCAAAAGGCAAAAGATTGACATTAGGTTTTGATATGAAATCTTCTTGACCTGCAGTCAAGAATATGTTTCAACACACCGTCTGCAAGACAGGGGTCTCTTAAACAGATAAGATAACAAAATTGCCACAGCAAGCAGCATCACATCAGTGCAGGAAAACATATTTAGAGACAACTGTGAAGTAATAAATGAATATGTAGCATAAAGACATCTTAATTAAGTAAAGAAAGCATTAAACTCTCAAATGACAAATAAAACACTGCTTTATTCTCGACGTACCAACTAAACTAGCTAGAATGCTTCAGAGATTGAAATGACATATAGAAAGAGCCTCAACCGTAATGGAAAGACACAAAGATTGAAGGTAAAGAAAGATATAGACTAGTACTTTTGAACTTTAATCATTCATTTAACAACACAATCATCCCAAAAGATTTTGGAGTCGGCTAACATGAATGGAATATCGATACATGATATCGGATCCAAAAGGAAAAGAAAGATTAGAAAGAGAAAAACATAAGATATGGTAAAAAGATTAAAAAAAGATAAGATAAAGTTATACGAAGTATATAAGATAAAGATATATATGATAAAATAAAAAGGAATAAAAAGAATATTAAAAATATATATAAAATAAAAAGGATTTCTTTTTATCCTACCTTATCTTTTTATCATTCTTTTTTTCCTTTTGGCTTCGATACCATACATCGATTCATGTTAGCTGACCCCAAAACCTTTCGGAATTAAGGCTTGGATGTTGTTGTTGTATAAAAATAAAAAGGATTGAAAGATAAAGAACATAAGATAAATAAAGAAGATGAAAGGATAAAGAAGATGATAAGAGATCAATCCTCCACATGAATATCCGCCCTCCACTTTCCTCTCTCCAAAGTCATACTCTTATCCAACTCAAGAAGAAGCATATCATTTCTGACTCCTCCAATCCACGTCTATTTGTGTATTCTTCTTCCTCTCCTCCCCACCTCTTCTCCACACCTCTCAACTCATCTAATAGGTGCATCACTTGGTCTACTACACACATGACAAAACCATCGCAATCGCAACTCCCGCATCTTATCTTCAATAGGTGATACTCCCACTTTTTCCTGAATGTCTCATTCCTCGAGCAGTCTTTTATAGTATGTTCACACATACAACGCATCATGAGCATCTTTGCCACACTCATCTTTTGAATGTGACATTGTTTCACCGCCCAACCCTCTAAGCCATATTTTTTTCCCTCTAAGCCATATAGTAATGCATGCTTCATTGTTGTCTGATAAAATTTCTCCTTCAGTCTAGTCAGCATACCTCGATCACATAGAAATCATGACGCACTCTTCCATTTCATCCACTAATTGCCACCGGGTAGTATAGTGTCGATAATAAAATAATAATGAGAGTAGTCTACATAGAAGTTAGGTTGGGATTATCCTTTTGGCTTGGGACTTGAAGAGCTCTTTAACAGCCTTTGTACTTTCTCTCTCTATTTTGTTATACGAAGCTTTCTTTTTTTTACGAAGCTTTCTATTGTTACGTAAATTCTGTTTCATTCTCTAAAACTCCGTAAATGGGATCCTTCTCCATCATTGGTATTAGAGCACGATTCATGTCACATGTTAATGGTTGTGACTCGCACCAATATGGAAAGCAAATTGGAAACAATAGAGCGCAAGGTGGAACGCAACCGTGAGCGGCTACGAAAAATTAACACGATTGCGGAGATGCGCGATCTAATGGTCCAGCAGAATGGCTGTCGTTCGCGAGGCCGATCGAGGATCCCTAGATGTCATCGGAAGCCTGAAAGCCAGGGTTCGACTTCATCGCAAACAGCTTTCCCTTGTGCACAAGTATCGTCGCAAGCAGAAGATCACCATTCGCAAGCTTAGTCACTGACCGATCCTCACAGTTCGTCTTTGTGAGGGGCCTTGATTAGTTCCCAGCTGATGTCGCAAACCGCTTCTCACCATTCACAAGCTTCAATGTTCCTTCAGGAGTATGTGAGTCAGCGGCAAACTCCCTCTGAAAGTACTATTTCGTCGCGATTCAGAAAAAGTGAAGAAGAAGAAGAAGAAAATGCACAAGTTGTTCCGAATAGTGTTGATGATGCTCCAAGGGTCACCAATCTAGGGCAAAGTTCCGCTAGAGGAGCGGCTAACTCTTCTTCGGAGCCAATACCGCTGTTGATTGGAGTTTCTGGTGACCTTAGCAAAACTGGAGAAAATGCAGGGTGTTTTGCGGCTGAATTTCCTAAAGATCCTATCCCTGAAGTGTGTTCTGTTGTGGCAAGAGCCATTGGCTCCCTTATAACGGGAATGGGAGAAGAAAACTTCCCAAACTTAGTGCATGGCCTGTTACATACTCTGGAATCTGAGGGCAGCAATGTTGGGCGTTCTGGAGCTGCACAGGCCCTGAGAGAGGTGAGGCATAGGCTTGAAGAGATTGACTATATCCTGGAGGCGCAAATTTCAGAGCGTTATACATCTCTTTATGTGACTTATCATACTGAAAATATCAGTCATGGAAATGCAGAATATGAGAGTGCAACGAATAGGAAGGTATTGATGAAGGCTTTACCCAATATAAAGGCATGCGTATTGGTTGGTGGTTGTTTGTTGGCTGTTGATCTGCTAACTGCAGTTCCTGAAGTTGCAGAAAGAACTGCTACACCTTTGCAGTCAAACTTAATAGCTGTTATTGCGTTTATGGAGCCACTGAAGGAACGGATGTGTGTGAACAAGGAGTGGACCTTTCACTGCTATGAGAAACTCTATTTCCCACTCTTTGTAATCACGCAGGAGAAAGTAAGAAATATTAAACTGCTGCCTATTGACCTCAAGCCTATAATGGAAGGACTTCCAATGCTCAAATTGACCTCTAAGAAAATTATATTCAGTCAACATATGTTATTTTGTCGGATGATCCTGCTTTGGCAATTTCCTCTTCTGTGGCTAGAAGTCCAGCTGCTGTGTCCCTTTTACTGGTTAGTGGCACTTAAAGGGAAATTGTCAGATCCTATCTTGAAGTTCAATCAATCATCCAGGTGTTGGAATCTTGTGCTGAGAACATGAATTGCTATTCGTTGATCACATACCAGGACTTACAGGTGTCAACAACACTTCCTAATGATGACTTGGTGAAGATTTTTAACTATGCTGTCTTAAGGCTGGTTCCAAATGCTTGGTCTTCTGGCCTGAGCTCTTGGTCCTATTTACGTAAAGGAAATGCTACATCTAATAACTTTGGAGGTTGGTGGGGAAGCTCTACTTCTATACCTGATCAGCAGGCTGCCTCCTCATACAATAGTTCTCAATGCAGTTATCATGTTGTGAGGCCCTTACAGCTTGACAAGTGGTCGAAAGGGAAAGATGGGTTCCTTGTAACTAATCTTTGGGGAGCAGAAGTTGCTGCCCCAACTTTTTGGATTAATCAGGCAGGAGAAAGAGCATACATTTGCGTTTATCAGCATAAAGGCATGAATATTGTGCTTCTCATTCCCTTTACATCTGTGTTCATAGAGGAGCAAGGGGTTTCCATGATGAAGCGGAACATTTTAGAACAAGCATCACTTAAGGTTATCAAGGTTGAGGAAAAACTATCAGGAGGTTGGGGTGATGAGAATGCATACCACGTGAGTGGATACTGCTATGTGCTGGTGGGCAGTGATCGATGTATCATTGTATCTCAAGAGTTTCACCTCCGGAAGAAGTATCAAATCTGACTCAGGACTCTTCAGTGGCACTGACCAAGCTCCGGGAAGAAGTTGATCTGGAAAGAAACAGATCAAAGAGAGAGGGTCCAAGCAATTAAAAAAGATGAGGAAATATGTCTGAGTTGATAAACAATCAGGGAGATGCTGGGAAGGTAGAGGCGCAAGGATGAAGATGATGGTCAGGGGTGTTTTCTATCACCCACCTTGAGGACAAGGTGGTTATTTAAGGGGGGAGATATGATAGGGACCAGGCAGATTAGTGCTGATAATAAAATAATGTAGTATATATAGAAGTTAAGTAAGGAATAAAAGTTAAGCTGGGATTATCCTTTTGGCTCGGGACTTGGAGAGTTGGCGCTCTTTAACTGCCTTTGTACTTTCTCTCTCTATTTTGTTATACGAAGCTTTCTATTGTTACATAAATTATGTCTATGTAGCACGGAAACTCTCGGGAAAAATTATGTTTCCGTTTCGGAAACTCTATGGAAACTCTCCAAATAAGCCTTTTTTGAGTAAAAGTTGACGTTTCCCGTTTCCTCATGATTTTCGCGTTTCCGTTCAACATAGAATTCTGTTTTCTTCATCTCTAGCTCTCCAAAACTATGTAAATCATATCCTTCTTTATTATCCACCTTGTTCTGATTCTATGGGATACATTTCATTCATTTTCCGTAATAATTAAGAAGAACTTTCCAATAACAACTTATGAATGAGATAGCAGTAACGGTAAAAGTAGAACTAGACAAATAATTTTGAACTTTACACTTTCATATTCCAAAACAATTAAACTGCACATAGCCCCTTTCATACAAGCAGACATTTAAAAACCCTGCAAGGAACACAGAGAAAACCAATCAGCTTACCTCAATTGAAGGCAAAAGCAGAGAGCCATAACGAGGATCTCTTCCGACCATCTGCACAATTTCTTGATCACTTTCCATACCCATGGCCTTCAAAACAATCATTATGGGAACCTGCAAACCGAAATTAAAATCACCTATAAAGCTAATAGTATTGTAATACAAGAATACAAGAAATGAAGTTGAACAAAGTGCAAAGTGCATCAACATAGAGATAAAAGTTTAAAAACTTACCTTGCTTTTGAATTGGTTCAACTCCAGATAAATCTTTTCTTTGTCCATTTTTATGACTGTTTTACTTTTTATATTATCTGTGCTGGATGTAACAGACGCTTGAACGCTGGAAACAAGATTAGAAGAAGAAATAGATGTTGCGTGAATAAAGCCCAAGAATAATCTCAAAAGCTTCAAAAATAAAAAGGCAAGAGAATTTGTCATTGAAATGCTTCGATGAAAGGAATGATTATGGAATTCTCTCCCTCTTCAAGACAGTACCACTATATGCCAATAATACATCTTGCATACTAGGACACTGAAACTTCAACTTGTATGAACAAGAAAATAAAAAATAAAAAATAAAAAGACAAAATTGCACAGCATCCTCTAATAGTCTAATGTGCTCAAAACGATCAATACATGTAAGAAAGTGACTGTTTATAGTTCCAATTTCCAAAAGAGATCGCCTAGATGCAGCTGACAATTACAAAACTCAATCTAAAAAGGTGAGTGCACACATGTTCCAATTACTTAATTGATCTAGTGGGGGTGAAAAAAGATGAGTGTGTGGAAGCAACAGAGAACAAATTACCAAGGAGAAGTGCAATAAAGTTATAATAATGTGAACCCCTTACCAGCCCTTCCTGTCAGTATCAATAAGTATTCTGTTCTTGGAAAGCTGCTCTTGGATTAAAATAACCTGGATTGATGGAGCAGAAGACAGAAACTATAGACTATAAAAAACATAAGTCAAACATGATGAATAATAATTTTCAAAACTAAGAAGTGAAGGCAGACATAGTAGACAAAAGGGGTGATATGAGGAGTCTCTTGCTAATAATAAATATTACTTTATCATCACCATTATTATTAGTATTATTATTTAGTGATGCAGTTTTAGTCAACTTCTTATTGGCCTAGCTTTATGTTTCTATTACGACCAAGGCTCTTGTAGTAGCAAAATAAGGGTCTCCAGTATTGATTAGTAGCAAAATTAATTCGTCTCTTGACAAGTAGGGCTGAGCATAATCCTATCCAGACCAGAACACCGGACCAAACCGGACCGGTCAGTCCAGACCGTTTACATACCGATCCAGTCTCCGTTTCAAGGATTTTTGTCCAGTCCGGTCTGAAACCCGGAATATTCCAGTCTGGACCGGTTAGACCGGAATTTAAATATTATACTCCCTCCGTCCCGTAAAGGTTGGCCAAATTTCCTTTTTTGGATGTCCCAAAAAGATTTGACATTTCCATTTAAAGTAAGGAATATGTGGCTAAAATCAATTCTCTCCCCTCAGCACAAATTTCAACCACAATTTTTACTTTATTAAACCACGTGAAAGTCACCTTTGGCCAACCTTTTCGGGACGGAGGGAGTATATACAAATATATTTATATATGCATTAAAATTTTACATATATACATACTACATATGTTCAAGTGATAAAATGCTTTAGGCAATAATTCAATTTGCACATTATTTGAATAACCTCAAGTGTTAAAATTTAGGATAGTTTTTATTTGCTTAGTTTATCTTGTTTTAATGATAATGCATACACGCTTAATTTAGTTTATTTTGTTGAATTTGTAAAGCTAATGAGCTAAATTATTCGTTGAACTCATCGAGAAACTAACATTAGTTTCTTGTATCAATATGATCATATTAGGAGATTTTTTCATTCTAATATAAAAGAATAAATGAGAAAAGATCATACATAAAACAACATAAAAATATAACAGAAATTCTCAAGCTGATAAGGTAATTTTTAAATGATCAGAACTATTTTTTAAAAGTTGAAACATCTATAAAATAAATGAAAGTAAAATTCCGGTCCATACCGGTCTGGACAAGTCAAAACCAGAATAATGCAATGACAAGGTTGGGCACCAATTAATTCTAGCTTAAGCTTATTTTATTTGTCTTCTTTCCCATTCTCTTTGAGATCCTATCACACTCATAAAAATTTGGTTGCTGAGCTGTTTATTTCCTACTCTTTGTTTCTCTTCCACAACTCATCAACACAAGGAAAAAATGGAAAAGGATACTGCAACTGCTCACTAGTGAACAAAGATCTCCAACTTTCCAAACCCACAGGACGATACCATAATCGCTACGGTTCTGCCCCAATGTTTCTTATCTTTCTGCTGCCAGAAGATTAAAAAATCTGAACAATGGACTACGTCATGATTCAACAGGTCCTGTTCTCCTCCAGATATTCGAAGGTTCCATTTTGAATCTAATTTAGTTAGTGTCTTTATTTTATTTATTTTCTTAGTAGGTGTTTTTTCTTTTAGCAGGTTTACTTTATTGCTGTGTGTGTGCGCGCTTTCAAGTCTGTAGCTTCAAAAATACAGAAAAAGAAAGTCCAGAAAAAGATGAAAAAATATGGACTAACGAACTTTTCATGTCCACTGTCTCTGAGTTATGTTGTTTCATTAACGAATATGATTCCTTGTCTACTTTCGGTGGAAGCTGGGTGCAACATATTGAAATTTTGAAATCTGATCGGATCAAACTCCAATCTTGGTACATTTTAATTCCTCTCTGGACACACAATAACTGCCTTGTGGGAATTTAAACAAAAGAGTATTTATGAAGGTTGTTGCACAATAACGACTTCACCGGTTTCTTTATCGCCCATAGAAAATTAGAAATACAACCGCATCCACATCTATTGTCACCAGAACATCTTCCTCCACTTCAAACAGTTCCCTTACTTCAAAGTGCTTAATTTAAGCAGAAACAGGCCATTGAAAAACACTCATTTCATCTTTTTTTAAGCAAAAAACTGAAAAGCACTCTATTAAGTTGCTGCAAACACTCCCTTAGTGAGCTTCTTATAAGCCTAGCTTTATGTTTCCTATTATGATTAGGAATCTTGTAGTAGCTATATTAGGGTCTCTAGTATTGATAACTAAACAACCTTTGAAAAACGAATTCATGTGTGTCTTGACAAGGTCGAGCGTAAATTCATTCTACTTAGGCTTATTTGATATGTCTTCTTTCCCGTTCTCATTGAGATCAAACCGCACTCATAACAAAGGGGCCCATAGACAGAAAATCACATTGTCAAAACCCTTATACGTAGTATAAAGCGGAGTTTTTTCCATTTTCGGTCCTTCGACTTTTCGATCAGTGACACTATTGGTACTCGACTTTCAACTTTTCTATTTTTAGTCCTCAACTATTGTGTGAGAGACACTTTAAGTCCTCGAATTCAATGTTTCCCACATGTAGTCCTCTGAGTATAAACAAATTGACACTTTTAGTCCTTCCACTATGATTTTGACACAATAACCTGAGGACTAAATGTCACTATTATAATAGTTGAAGGACTAAAATTGTCACTTTCATGAAAGTCGAAGGACTAAATGTGGAAATTTTCAACGACGGTACCAAAAGTGTCTTTCGCACAATAGTCAAAGGACTAAAAGTGAAAAAACTCAAAGTCGAGTACCAAAAGTGTCAGTGACATAATAGCTCGAGGACTAAAAGTGGCAAAAATTCTATGAAGCATGATAAACACATTGTTCATACCTTTTCAGTGCCTTTGACAACAAAATATCCTCCTGGATCAAGTGGACATTCACCTAAAGTGAATAAAAAACAAGTACAAAGAATACAGTCAATATATAAATAAGAATACATGATCAACAAAGACAAAAGAAAAGAAAAAAACAAAGAAATCACCACAATCATCATGCAAAAATAATTTATACAGTTCATTGTCATATATGTTTGCTAAAATCAGTAAGATATGCAGGCCTTGTGGCAGGTCATACACCATCAAAGTTTATTTGTGTCAAATAACCAGTAAAACAATTCCAGTGCTTGTTCTCTGGCGATCCATTTAGACGAACAACTACTTTCATGATCAGTAACTATAAACAGAAGATCAAGTCTGGATAATGTTCATTAAATAATAAACTACTACTGATATTGATATGACTTTAAGCTCACAACTTCACAACTTCTCGAGGACTACTACAGTGTTTATATAGAGACAATGGGCCAAATCCCCATAGGAATCGGAAACCTATATCTTAAATGTAACAGGAATAGCAAGCAATAGTTTAACTGCTAAAACTATGAAAATGATGTTACACTTTCTGTTATTCTATACTCTAACATAAAGACAACTCAATGTAAAATCTAAGTGGTCAGAGGCATACGAAGGCGTGCCAATTCATCCTCATCTTTTCCATACAGGACACAACAAGAACTCCTTAGCATGACAGGCATCCTTCCAATGCAAACTTTAGCCTAGGAGGTGTTTCAGAGAGCATGCATGCACCAAGAGATGGAAGAAGCAAGTAAGAGCCTTGAAATCAAATTCAGAAATCGCAAAGCATTTTCAGCTAAATAAAATTATAAGGAACAGTTACAGTACCTTGCTTGCAGGGGTCATTTGCCCATTACTCCCCACTACATAATCAATATTGACATATATAGGAGCAGCATAGCTAAAAGTTAATAAAGAAACCATGTGATGAGAGAATTTAGAGAAAGTAGCAATATGCAATTAATTTCCCTTTATATTTAATTTTGTAGGGCAACTTTATAGAGCCAAAAGAAAAGGAAGTTCGATTTGGTTTGCATAACACTGCACTGCTTCTTTTTAGAGAGCATCCAACTCCAGAGGGAAAGCACGGTCAACAATCACACAACTCACACAAGGAACCCGGTACAATGAGAATAGTTACTAACGTTTTATCTGATTGCCGACATTCATTTGGAAACAATGTCTTTTCCGTACCATCACTCATAACTGATGGTCTACCTATCCAAACATCTGTGTACCTGTAATTATGAAATGGTTGCTGTGGTATCATGACAGTATCTGGTTCACAAATTTGAAAAAAAAAATGTTGCCATATTGATGAAATCCACTCAAGAAACAACAGAAAAGGCCCACCTGAGAAAAATACGGGAGTCAACTGTCGATCTAATTTCCTTATTTGTTTTGACAATCTTTTTTATATCAGTCCTAATGAGATAATTATAAGAGTCCAAATGTTGCTTCACCAATCCTCTCACCTGCAAATTATCTATTATTCATAAAAGCAAACGAGAACACCTTTGAGCTAAACACTGGTAGCATCCAACACTAAATCATTTTATTATCTAGGGTGGAACTACTAATAGAAAAAGAATCATTCCACAAGTTATTTTCATGTTTTGGCTGAAATTGTGAAAAATATATTTTAAAAAGTATATATATACCTTAATCCTTCTAGATACTTGTAGATACTTTTAAAGATATTAAAATTGATATTTTAAGTACAGTTTTAGATAATTCAGCCATTTCATCAAATTTTTCCGTAACCAAACAGACTACAATATACTAGGAATAAAATCAAGGACAAACTGATTTTAAGCATATATTAGTCTTTAAGTAAACTACCTAGAGTAAACATAAAAAGTGCAACCATATTCATGGGAATAGATTTTTTATACACTGCATGTGCATGGTATTAGCCACGGGAAATTAGAAAATCCCTGGATTCTACCAAAGATAAATGGTAGGAAAATTGGGTCTTTTAACTTCAACCGTGGAGACAAAATCGTCATCATGTACCAGGAACGTTATAAAGATTTGGTCCTGATGGTCTACTCAGTACGAGACGGGAAATTCAAGAGACTTCTCATAAATTTGAATAACACATAACTCTGCATGGGTAATAAGTATATTACATTTGTGTTTTACAATAATAATTATAAGTAATATAATGTCATACTCTCATCATCCTGACTATAGGCCTCAGATAATGTCCCAGTTTCTTTTTAAACGGATTATCGGGAAACAGATAATGTTTGATCAATCGTCTAACCTCAGCTCTAATTCTAAATACACATTTTAGATGTAATGTACTTGGTACAAAACATAAAAAAAGCTATGCAAACGGTCTACATGTCAATTCACAAAGAAAGTAGATTTGTAAGGGTAGAAAGTTAATGTGTTTGAAAAAGAAAAGAGGACAAAACTGTGAGACAAACTAGAAAGACAAGTGGGGAACACATACAAGTGGGAATGAAGAGCATTAATTAAGTATCATACAAATGTAATAACATTATACTACGTACTATATATACTCCTCTAATGTTTTGTTTGGAAAGATCTACTCTCCTTTCTAGATAGGAGGTCCCATGCCAATGTCCACTTTCCTAATCTAAACATCAATACCTTTTAAATTTACCCAACTTATCACTCTACCCTTCCAACTTTTTACTTGGTGGGTTTCACTTTACTTTTCTTCTTAATTCAAATAGGTAATCTTCAAAACTAGCATCACACTTTTTTTCTAAAAAAGCATGTGCAAATGTGTCAATGCAATTCAGGACTGAAAGCAATATATTGTACAGTACTTGGATACAAATAATAAATAACATCTAGAGCCATGCCGATAAAAATGTCAGTATGGTGCAATTCAAATAAAGTCAAACGATCACGAAATGTCGAAATGTTTTCACTTCTAGATATTTTTGGTTCAGTTTGGGACATGAAGACATCCAATACCTATACTCAGCCCTAAACACTTATGACACTACTACTATCACGTTACTTCTACTAATAAATAATAATATTATCCTCCGTTCCATAAAAGTTGCAACAATTTGACTTTCACGTTTGCCAACGCGCAACTTTGACTGTAATTATATTTATTTACGTATTAGTAAACATTAAAAAAAGTTAATATATTTGAAATTTACACTGATACAAATTTATTAATACTTTATACATAATATTTTTATTGTATATATTATTAGAAAATCGTAGTCAAAGTAAGGTGTGTGAATAGTGCAGAAATTCCAATGTTGCAACTTTTATGGAACGGAGGAAGTACAATAAAACCTCTATACCAGAACACTCCATATAAGAATAACATGTACTTTGTTATACAAAAAAACATCCCAACTTAGTAGAGTTGTAAGGTGAAAAACATGTAAATTGTATGGAGCACTAGCTAATTAGGTATATATGTTCTAGCTAAGTACTTATAACTTACTCCGCATAATGTTTCCAATCGCTTATTAAGAAAAAAAGACATATCTATATAGTAATAAACACACACATACACGGTACCTTGCATACTTAGATTTTGGTACATTGATAAAAGAGACCAATAAATTAAAATGATTATTACATTTACATACTCCCTCTGTTTCTAAAAGAAACTCACACTTTCCTTTTTGAGATGTTTCAAAAACAAAGTCACACTTCCCTTATTTCCTTATTTGGCAAAGAACTCTACATCAAAACAGTGCCAATTAGTGCCAAACAGTGCCAAACAGTGTCCAAACAGTGTCTAAACAGTGTTTTCTACAGTAAAGTCAATTTATTTCCTTAATAATCGTGAAGTCAAACCGTGACTTTCTTTTGGAAACGGAGGGAGTATAAAGTAGTTTTGAACTTATTAAAAAACAGACAGAAATATACAAGCTTCCGTACATATTGGTGATTTTTTGATATTTTATATTTTCTTTAATTTGTCCATTGAATATTCTATAAACAGTGTGTACGCACCTCAATATCTCAACAAATTTTAAGCTAAATCTCGTTTTTCTACAAAAACAAATTAGGTAATTTTAAATTATGTTAAAGATTATTCTTTTGGATGTTATAACTTTTTTGTACTACTATCTCTTTCCAATTAAAAACTTTCAATGGAAGACAAGTAGATTATTTTGGTCCCAAGTCTATCCTGCTTGCCCGTAGACCTGTAGTGCACAATAATTACTTTGAACTGGGAAACTTGTTCAACTGAAGACATGACAAAAAAAACAAACCTTCAAGAATTCGGGAAGAAGCTGAAACTTGTCAACTACATTCTTAATGGGAGACGATAGAAACTGCTTGTCAACTTTGAGGTTCCTGAATTCAAGCAATTACAACCGGAAACCAATAAAAAATGTTATCGGGGCTTTGAGATAAATAATACATTATTCATATACGATATAAGTAAATTAAAAAAACGTCAAATTATGGCCTACATACTCTTCCTGTTCACCGTAAGTCATGATGATGATGAATGCTAGTCAGCAGCAGAGAAAACTAAATTCAGCTTTATATAGGTGAACTCAGGACCCTGTGGGCTTTTTCAGGGGTACTCTCAATTCTCAAGTCTCAATTGGAAGAAGTCGGCGGAGATTATGGGCAACTGGGGGCTTTTTACGGTATAAGCACAGCCGGTCCTGTCTGTCTCAAAGACTATAGGCGGTGTAGGCGGTGGCTCGGGATTCGATCCTATACGTCTCTGATCGGCTGCTCCGTGCGTCCTGTGTTCGTCTTCCAGGCTCCAGTCTTTCTACTCCGTAATAAGTCGTGGTAAATTAATCCGCCGCGTCCCGCGTCTCTGCTGTGTGTTATTCTTGTGGGCCGTCGGGAGATCGGACTGCAACATCAGTCCAATCATACAATGATAGTGCAAAATAAAAAGAATAAAATGCATAAATACCCTTAAATTTTAATTCTCCGACTATTAAATCTATCATTTTAGTTCTTAATCTATTTCATCTATATTAATCGAGTCTTTTCGTTAAATTTATCATTAACTTTGACGGAAGCTAATTAATTTATTGACATCTCATAATTTTAAACATTTTGGAACAATACAATCCTTCTTAAAATTTAAGTAGCTAATCTAATTTTTCTTTAAATATACATATATGTACACATACACATATAAAAATTATAAATAAATAATATAAAATTAAATGTACAACCTAAATAATATGTACTACCGCCGTCCCGCTAGAAGGTTCTCATAGCAAAACGGCACGGTTATTTAGGCAATAATTAAATAAAGTACTTTGAGTATATTTTGAGAAATAATTTTAATAGGTATATGATGGAAAGTATACCCGGGGGTAGCTTATCCGAGGGGTTATTACGGGGAATGACTAGAGAGAAGTCAGAGCAAGTAAGAGATAGAAAGTGTATTGAATATGTAAGTCAAGGCTTTTTGAGCGTGGTTTACAACGGGGAAATGGGGTGCTATTTATAGTAGCAATAAATGCCAGACAGGGACACGTGTCAAGCATCCATTGGCCGAGGGGTCACCTCAACTGGTTGGCGCTGGCAATCGCATGTGGCCGCATTTAATGCGGCTGTTGGATGTGACGTCGTACTTGGTACGGTGATCCATGCGCATGTGGAGCGGATATTATGTCGGAAAGGTGCCCTCGGCTGTAGATGATTAGCCGAGGGCTCTGAGCATTGGGGACCTCCTTAGTGTCGAGGGCTCTAGGTGTCGAGGGCTACTGATTTTCGCCGTTTTCTCCCAGTAACTTTGTCCTCTGCCGTTGTTCCGTTGTAGTTTGTAGAGTTGTGAGTAGTTTGCTATTTGTTTATTCTGCCGAGGGCAGTCCCTCAGTTACCCACATTCCGGGACTTGGGGGATCATGCTCGTTTGTTGTGGGAGTTTTTGACATTTTTGTGTATTTTGAGAGATTTTTCCCGGAGGGGTCCTCCAGTTCCCCACTCATTGAGGCACTTGCAAGGTGGTGAAAAGGAGTAGAGTAGTGCCTGCCTGCAATATGAAACCGAGGGGTGACACTTTTTGTTTCATTTTGGGGGGATGTCTCGTTAAAAACCTCATTAGGAAAAACCATGTGGGGAAAAATCCTAACGAGGGAAAAAGAGTGCACCGAATTCCCCCAACGATGAATCGAAAATGTGAGACCCTGGTTTGAAATGGAGTACAATGCTGATGTCGAAGGCTATCCTTGTTCTGAGGGTGCGTGTGTTGATTAGCCGGAGGCTTGCTGTTGATATCCTTGGAGGTGCCGAAGGGGAGTCCCTCAATCTGGGGATCGAGGGCGTGATGAATGTGAGTAGTAGTTGAAGTGTTACCGGGGGGGTGTCCCCTGTTTGTTGATCAGTTGGTGAGGTGGATATCCGAGGGCTCCCGTTACTTGCGTGTCGTAGGCTATCCGTCAATGAGGGGTACTCCCCGGGGGCTGCCTGGTCCTCAAAGTGCTGAGGGGGGGAATCCCCGAGGGGTGTGCCTGTTATGAAGCTGTGGGCCTCTGAAGGAGTGAGCCCGAAGGCATTTGTTATGTAGTCTGAGGGGCATAAATCGGGAGCATCTCTGGGTAAGTGCACCCGGGGGCTCCTCTTGATGAAGTGGAGTGAAATAAAAAACCCGGGGGCTAGATTTGGTTGGTGAAGGAGTGGTCTGTTGAACATAGCCGGGAGTTTCCAGAATATGACCGTTGTAAATATAGCCGTTGGAATACCTAACGTCAAAATATAGCCGTTGAGGGGGGCACACGTGGCGCGCGACGGTTGGCTACCTGCGGGCGGCGTTACCGATTGGGCGAAACCACGGCTTGTAATGATGACTTTGTGACCGGAAGCCCGGTTTTTGGGCCCAAACCCGAATCTGGGCGCCTATAAATACCCCATGGTCGGGCATCACTTCTCTTGTGCGATCATTTGTTAGCGAAGCTCTGCCAAGATTTCTAGAGAGAGAAACTACAGGCCTTCGGTTGAATCCCCAGCTTTCAAGGTTAGTCCCCCTTCTGTTCTTCGCTTACTTGGTGAGTCTTGCTCCTGTGGCCTTAGACTTAGGTGTCTAGAGTTTCTTAGGGTGCCTCCGGATTTTTAGAACTTCCGAATTCATTAGCCTATAAAAAATGTCGTCTGCTAGTGATTCCAAAGACATATCGAGGGATCCCTCGGTTGAGACGGAAACCTACTCCGACGTCGAGCCTTCGAGCGAGGAGTCTTCGGTGGGTGACGGCGTTGTTGTGTCCATGGAGGTGGAGAAGGACCTCAGGGCCGAGGTCGAAGCCGAAGACTTCGAGCAGGTGAACGAGGACGAAGAGCTCGCCCTTGCCGTGCAAATTGCTGAAGAGGAAGAGGAGAGGGAGAGGATGAAGGTGACGGGGAATCCAGCTCCTCTCGGCCCTTGAACCCGACGCCCATCAGTGTGGCTCCCAGGAAAAAGAAGAAGACGAGGGTAGCTCCGAAGAAAAAACAAGCGGCCGTAGATGCCGGGCGGCCGGTAGGCATACCCGAGGGCCATTCGTTCCTGAATACTGCTGCCCTTGAGCTGAAGACGAGGGCATCCCCGGCAGAGTACCAGGCCACTCAAATCCTGGTTAGCCCTTCAGCACGTGTGGTGGAGCCAGGGGCAGACGACTTGTTGCGATATGCGCCGGAAAGGTGCGTCGCCGTTCACACCCTGTCGGTGGAGATGGGGCTTCGCTTTCTGCTCCACCCCTTTCTGCTGGAATACCTGAGATTCGTGGGGTTGCCCCCCTGCCAGCTAACGCCCAATAGCCACTCTTACGTGGCCGGCTTTCTCTCTTTGTGCCGGAGCCAGGGGGTTCCACCTACCCTCGACCAGTTCTTCATGTCTTTCAATCTATGCCGGGGGCATTCAAACGCTGAGGGCTTTGCCAACCTTCAGCAGGTACCGGAGTTTAGGCTCTTCGACGATGTGCCTTCGTCCCACAAGGGGTGGAAGGAGCGGTTTTGTTACGTACGTTTGGAGGAGAACCCCTTCCCGGCTATGCTCCGCAACAGCTTCCAGCTCCACCCGAAGGTAGGGAGCGCGGCCCTGGAGAAGAATGGTAGAATACTTGCCAAGAAACCGGAGGGGTCTGATAAACACGTCAAAATTAAGGACGTCACTCTCCCCGAGGAATTGTTTAGTCTTGGCTTCCGGCATTTTAGGCCGAGGGGCTCATCAGATGAAAGATACCCTCCGCTCGATCGTGTCTTCGAAGGAGACGGAGGTGATTATCGAAGGGTTATTTGTACCTTGATAGTTTTCCTTCATATTTTTTTTACTCTATGCCATTGTAACTGACACCCTTCGGTTTAACCATTCTGTGTCTTGTTTTTGCAGGTAATAACATGGATGTCAGCTCTCTTTTTGCCTTGAAGAATGCCAAGGGGAAGAAGAAGGGCCCGGTGGGCACTTCTGCCAGGGAGGAGTCCTCCCAAGCCGCTACTGCCGGTGGTGGTGTCGGGGGGTCCAAAGGTGTTGGGCCCGTGAAGAAAAAGAATAACGGCAAGGGGACCGAGCCCCCGGCCAAGAAGTTAAAAGCCACCGCCCCCGCCAAGCAGCCGACCACTGACGTGGTTGTCATTGTGGATGAGGGGCACGCCTCTGCCCCCACCTATCAGGAGCACATCAACCAGGAGTTCTTCGGCCGGGAGAAACTGGAGGCGATAGTGCCGAAGGGGGCTTCTGTACTGGAGGGTAGCCTAAATCCGTCGGCGCTGATGAGCCAGATGCTACCCTCAGTTGATCGCTTGGCCCTCGCCAGACTAGACGAGAGCTCCCTCGAGGCCAAGATTTTCCTGAACACTTCCTCCGTGAGTCACGCCTATCTTTTTCCCTTGTGTTCGTTTTTTCTCTTGCGTACTGTGTTTATCCTGTCTAACCATCACTTTTGTGGGCTGTAGAGCTTCATGGGCCTTTGCGAGCACCTTCGAAGGGTGGAGCAGATGAAGGAGGCGAAGGGTGCAGCCGAAGGGGAGGCTGCCCTCCTTAGGAAGAAGCTCGTTGAGGCCGAGGATTCTTTTCGCTTGGCCACCGATAGCATGGAGCAGCGGGTGCAAGCCGCGAGGGCCGAGGGGATGAACGAGGGCCTGGCTAAGGGCGGGGAGGCTGCTGCCGAGGCCGCTCGCATTGCTGCTGAGGAAGCCCGCGTGGCTAAGGAAGAGGCCGTCTCCAGGGCCCGGGAGGATGCTATAGCCGGCTTTACTGTCGAGGGGTGGAAAGCCGAAGAACAGAAAGAGTGGCTCTCCTCGGTGGTGGGGGCTTCGGTGGATGACTGGGTTGGAGGCCCCGACAAGATGTGGCTTGCTGAGAAGGGTGACTCCTACTATCAAGGCGGGGAGTTTTTTACCCAGCGCCTCATATACCGAAAGCTCGCCAGGCATTTCAAGCTTTCACGGGAGGAGTTCCGGCCTGAGGCTTATGGCCTTCCCCCTCGGCAGCCAGACGTCAGGATCCCTCTCCCCGAAGGCGAAGAGAGACCAGTGCTTGAAGATTCAGAGACTCTGAGGGAGTGTGGCCTCGGGGGTGATGGGGATGAGGCCGAAGGCGAGGCTACCTCCAAGGCTATCGAAGGGGGCGACGTTGTAGCTCCCCTCTTGTAAATTGTATTCCCCACCACTTTGTAATCATACTGCTGTACTCTTGGCTTCGGCCCTTTTGTAATATACACTTGAATTTTTCCTTTCTTCGATGAATGAATACCTGCCTTCGGGCTTTTTGTATATGACCCGTTCCTTTTGATTGTTTTTCTTTGAATGTGTGCCCTCGTCTTTTCTGAATGTATGCCTTCGCCTTTTCTGTATGTATGCCTTCGTCTTTTCTCTGTGCATGGATGCATGTTAGGACTTAGAAAATATC